GGGGCGGTGGGGGCGGTGGGGGCGGTGGGGGCGGGCATGCGCTGGAGCCCCTTGAAAACATCTGAAAGAAGGTAGCCAGTGGCGTGAAACGTGGCAGGGGGAGGTGGGGGCGGAATGGGCTCGCTGGGGCCCTGAAACGTGGCAGGGAAGGCCCTCAAACGTGGCGGGGAAGGGTGGTCGGTGGGCTGGAGCCCCTTGAACTCAAAGAAGGCAGCCAGTGGCCCTGAAACGTGGCAGGGGGAGGTGGGGTGGGGGCGGTGGGGGCGATGGGGGCGGTGGGGGCGGGCATGCGCTGGAGCCCCTTAAAAACATCTCAAAGAAGGTAGCCAGTGGCCCTGAACGTGGCAGGTAGAGGTGGGGGCGGAATGGACTTGCTGGGGCCCTGAAACGTGGCAGGGGAAGGCACTCAAACGTGGCGGGGGGGGGGGGGGGGGGGGGGGGGGGGGGGGGGGGGGGGGGGGGGGGGGGGGGGGGCATGCGCTGGAGCCCCTTAGAAACATCTGAAAGAAGGTAGCCAGTGGCCGTGAAACGTGGCAGGGGGAGGTGGGGGCTGGGGAATGGGCTCGCTGGGGCCTGAAACGTGGCAGGGGAAGGCCCTCAAATGTGGCGGGGGGGGCGGTGTGGGCGGTGGGGGCGGTGAGGGCGGTGGGGCGGTGGGTCGGGCATGCGCGGAGCTACGGGGGCGGTGGGCGGTGTGGGCGGTGTGGGCGGTGGGGGCGGTGGGGGCGGGCATGCGCTGGAGCCCCTTAAACACATCTGAAAGAAGGTAGCCAGTGGCCGTGAAACGTGGCAGGGGGAGGTGGGGGCTGGGGAATGGGCTTGCTGGGGCCTGAAACGTGGCAGGGGAGGCGGGCGTGCGCTGAAGGTAGCCAGTGGCCCTGAGGTGGGGGCTGAGAAATGGGCTCGCTGGGGCCCTGAGCGGTGGGCGGTGGGCGGTGTGGGCGGTGGGGGCGGTGGGGGCGGTGGGGGGGGTGGGGGCGGGCATGCGCTGGAGCCCCTTAAAAGCATCTGAAAGAAGGTAGCCAGTGGCCCTGAAACGTGGCAGGGGGAGGTGGGGGCTGGGGACCTGAAACGTGGCAGGGGAAGGCCCTCAAACGTGGCGGGGAACGGGGGCGGTGGGCGGTGGGCGGTGTGGGCGGTGCGGGGCGGTGGGGGTGGTGGGGGCGGGCGCCCTGAAAGAAGGTAGCCAGTGGCCCCGAAACGTGGCGGGGGCGGTGGAGGTGGTGGGGGCGGTGGGGCTGTCAAACGTGGGGGAAGGGGGGGGGTGGGCGGTGTGGGCGGTGGGGGCGGTGGGGGCGGTGGGGGCGGTGGGGGCGGGCATGCGCTGGAGCCCCTTGAAAACATCTGAAAGAAGGTAGCCAGTGGCCCCGAAACGTGGCAGGGGGAGGTGGGGGCGGAATGGGCTCGCTGGGGCCCTGAAACGTGGCAGGGGAAGGCCCTCAAACGTGGCGGGGAAGGGGGGGCGGTGGGCGGTGTGGGCGGTGGGGGCGGGCGGGCATGCGCTGGAGCCCCTTAAAAACATCTGAAAGAAGGTAGCCAGTGGCCCCGAAACGTGGCAGGGGGAGGTGGGGGCGGAATGGGCTCGCTGGGGCCCTGAAACGGTGGTCGGTGGGCGGTGTGGGCGGTGGGGGCGGTGGGGGCGGTGGGGGCGCCTTAAAAAAACATCTGAAAGAAGGAAGCCAGTGGCCCGGGGAGGTGGGGGCGGAATGGGCTCGCTGGGGCCCTGAGACATGGCAGGGGAAGGCCCTCAGAAGGGGGGGCGGTGGGCGGTGTGGGCGGTGGGGGCGGTGGGGGGTGGGGGCGGGCATGCGCTGGAGCCCCTTAAAAAACAAGGCGGTGGGGCGGGCATGCGCTGGAGCCCCTTAAAAACATCTGTGGCCCCGAAACGTGGCAGGGGGAGGTGGGGGCTGGGGAATGGGCTCGCTGGGGCCCTGAAACGTGGCAGGGGAAGGCCCTCAAACGTGGGGGGGGGTGGGCGGTGTGGGCGGTGGGGGTGGTGGGGCCCCGAAACGTGGCAGGGGGAGGTGGGGGCTGGGGAATGGGCTCGCTGGCCCTGAAACGTGGCAGGGGGGCCCTCAAACGTGGCGGGGGGGGGGGGGGGGGGGGGGGGGGGGGGGGGGGGGGCGGCCTTCCCCGCCACGTTTGAGGGCCTTCCCCTGCCACGTTTCAGGGCCCCAGCAGCAAGTCCATTCCGCCCCCACCTCCCCCTGCCACGTTTCAGGGCCACTGGCTACCTTCTTTGAGATGTTTTTAAGGGGCTCCAGCGCATGCCCGCCCCCACCGCCCCCACCGCCCACAGCGCCCACACCGCCCACCGCCCCCCCTTCCCCGCCACGTTTGAGGGCCTTCCCCTGCCCGTTTCAGCGCCCCAGCGAGCCCATTCCGCCCCCACCTCCCCCTGCCACGTTTCGGGGCCACTGGCTACCTTCTTTCAGATGTTTTTAAGGGGCCAGCGCATGCCCGCCCCCCCCCCCCCCGCCCCCACCCCCCCACCGCCCCCCCGCCCCCACCGCCCCCCCCCCCCCACGTTTGAGGGCCTTCCCCTGCCACGTTTCAGGGCCCCAGCCCATTCCGCCCCCACCTCCCCCTGCCACGTTTCGGGCCACTGGCTACCTTCTTTCAGATGTTTTTAAGGGGCAGCGCATGCCCCCCCCCCCCCCCCCCCCCCCCCCCCCCCCCCCCCCCCCCCCCCCCCCCCCCCCCCCCCCCCCCCCGCCACGTTTGAGGGCCTTCCCCGATGTTTTTAAGGAGCTCCAGCGCATGCCCGCCCCCACCCCCCCCACCGCCCACACCGCCCCCTTCCCCACCACGTTTGAGGGCCTTCCCCTGCCACGTTTCAGGGCCCCAGCGAGCCCATTCCGCCCCCACCTCCCCCTGCCACGTTTCGGGGCCACTGGCTACCTTCTTTCAGATGTTGGGGGCGGTGGGGGCGGGCATGCGCTGGAGCCCCTTAAAACATCTCCAAGAAGGTAGCCAGTGGCCCTGAAACGTGGCAGCGGGAGGTGGGGGCTGAGGAATGGGCTCGCTGGGGCGGCGGGCTGGCTGGGGGGTCGCTCAGGGGGGGACGGGGGGGCCCTGAAACGAGGCCCTCAAACGTGGTGGGGGAAGGGGAACTGGGACAAGTACCGGGACCGAAGAAGGAGTGGGGATACGTGAACTATGAGACAATATCGCTTTCATGAACAAACAGGACTGGGACAAGTATCGGGGGCGAACCGGAGTGGGATACGTGAGCTCTGAGAGCATCGCTTACACGGACAGACGAAGGCTTCACGGGCGCCAACCCCTTAGGGGGGTCGGCGGATAAGGCAGCTAAAGGGTTTAATTTAACTACCCTCCTAAGTGCAGCCAAGTGTATGTTGAGGACATTCCACAGAGTTTCGCCAACCTTCAGCAGTTGCAGAGATGGTTTCAAGAGTACCGTCGTGTTTCTTGAGCGAAGCTTCAGGCTCCGGAACCCACACATGGCCTTCGGCTGGAGGAGCTACGGAGTTGTGTCATTTTGCAAGATGTCGGAAGGCAAACTGTTGCAATGCTTGCAGCTTACGGGCTGGGTCTTTGTCGCATTCTGCTCGTCAACACTTGTGTGCACACAGCTCAAGGCAAGGCAGTCGTAGAGCGCTTCATATCTTCAAGGCACGATGAACTGTACCGAAGATGTGCGCTCGTGCGAGAGCAGCAAGTCCTCGAATGAGGACACATCAAGCAAGATCTCTTCTGAGGCCAGTACGCCGAGCCGCCTAAGCTGGCTTCGCGTTTGGTACCACACGACGACCTCTGTACTCGGTGCGGTCGGCATTGCTGCTCTGCCCTTTGCCTTTGGCTACTTGGGATGGTTTGGTGGCTTCATCATGTGGACTTTCAGTACGATTGTCTCCTACTACTCCGGCCGCCTCCTGATTCAGATTCAAGGTTCAGAAAACACATATTCCCAAATTGCAGACAGGATAATGGGAGACGGCTTTGCAAAGTGGTGGATTCGGCCCTTCCAGTTCATCGTAGTTTACCAGGTCACGGTCCTTACTGCGTTGACTCTCGGGCAAACCTTCTTTGCCCTCGACGGTCTCTGCTCTCCTGCAGGCCACATGAACTTGTCCTGGTGGACCGTCATAGGAGGTGCCTTCACGTTCCTCATCTCACTCTGCCCAAGCTTGTCGCACATGTGGCAGTGCAGCTTTGTCGGATTCCTCGCGGTGATTGCATTTGTTGTGCTGACCTGTGTTGCATGTATCCTGAGCATCCAGTCCGAGGTGGACGCCGACTATGGCCGTCCCCAAGGCGAGAGCTTCGTCTTTGGTGTCATGGACAGCTTTGGTGTGCTGGCCTTCTCATACGGAGGGCATGCCGTCTTGCCAGACTTGCAGGCGTCCTTGCGATCCCCCACAGTTGAGAGGGCCCATGCCGCAATGCACCGTGGACTCCTCGCGGCCTATGGGGTCATTGCCCCATGTTATGCTGTCACCGCGGCGGCAGCCTATGCTGCCTTTGGCTCGAAAATCTCTGGGTACCTGTTGAACAACTTCGCTGACATTATTCCAAGTGGACTTTTGGCTTCTCTGCACATACTGCTTGCTGTGAACACTCTGGCTCTGGGTGCGATCTATATACAATCTGGCTTCTCTCTTGTGGGGGACATGATCCCATCTCTCAGCAGCGAGGCCGACCGGTACAGCTGCAAAAACCTATGGGCCGTTCGTTTGCCATGGGTGGCTACGGCCACCTTCGTGGCCGTTGCCATACCATTCATCGGGGATTTGGCGGCGCTTTCGGGAGCGATTGGATTCACGGCCATGACCTTCGTCTTTCCTTTTGTCCTCTGGGAACACTCACCCTTCGCCAGATCTGCACCTTATTGGAGGAGAGCTCTGCATGGCCTCCTGGCCGGGACCTTCACTTTGCTCGGCCTCTCGAGTTTCGTCGGCTCCACGTCCTTCATCGTGAAGGAGTCCTCCACCTACAAGTTCTTCTAACTGAAAATATTTTTTCATTCTATGCGTTTTGAACGGCGGAGGCACAGGCAGTGGAGCCGCCAAGGCTTTCTTGCTGCGGCGCGCTTGGGATGTTGTACAGCCACGACATTGCGGCACAGATGTCATGTAAAGTCTGTAAAGTGTGCGGGAGAATTCCCATTAGCCCAGAATTGGAGGAGGCAAAGCCTCTGCGTGCAAGTTGTTCCTTAACCATGCCGACAAACCTTGCGGGAAGATACCGGTGCTGGCTTTGAACCGCAGCCTCATGTACCTGGATCACGCAGACTATAACCAGTAGTTTCGTCACACGTATGAGGAGCCGTTGAGACTGCTGTCAGGATCCTACTTGCAAGCTTCTGAATGCGCAGTAGCGGAGCTGCTTTGCTTGCATGACTTCCTCTAGCGTGGCAACTCAGGCGGGCACAGTGGTCCTTCGACACATCCTTGCGCAACGCTTTGGGAGAGGCACTGGTGCTGGACACGTTGGATGTGTAAAAATGCGGGGCAAATGCGAGATATCCCGACTCAGCCGTAGTTGCCACAGGCGATAACCGTGCCGCTGCTTTCAACTGCTCGGCCCCTTGGTGAGGCATCTGCGCTTGTGTGGCTGTCGCCATGGATATTGGGCGCATGGTGTTCTGGTGTGATATGGTGTGGTGAAACCTTTAAACGATCTGAAGAGAGTTTCGCTTCAAGTTGCCCATGATGGTTAGAAATTGCAATGATGTTGCCTCTCTGCTGAAGCTGCAGGAGCGCTACGGAAACCGCAGCGTGGCAAGTCAGCTCTTTCTTCGCCCCGGCACGCTGCCCGCAGGCACGATTTCCCCTCTGCGGGTTCGCGGTTCTGCGGGGCATTGCACGGACTGGTGACGTCTGGCAGTGCTGACTTGAGCAGGATACAACAACATCTACGCGCAAGTTTGTGTGAATGCTGACTGCTCAGTGCAGGGTTAGAGTGGCTTCAGCACGTTTTGTGCGATCGAAAGACGGAACAATATGGCACTTCAGAGTCATGTTCCAGTTGCAGGCATCGAAGAATCTCACAGAGACAGAGACTCTACTGGGGTTGCGTCCGACCGAAGAGGTGGGAGAGTGACATGGTGGGCAACTGTTCGCTGGCCGGCTGACAATAGTTGACCTTTTGGAGTCAGGTCTGCGGTTACACGACTTTCGCAGTCAACCTCTTGTCATGCGCGGTTCCTCCGCTGTCTTTGACGACAGAGAGGCGCGGGCAGACATGGTTCGGATAGAGTTTGGCATCTCCAATTCGGTTGTGGATTTGTGTTGGTTTATGTTCTGTAATAGTCGAGACCAGGCCGTGGCGACGTGTGGCAGATGCCGGCCAGGCCGGCTGAGTCGTAGTCTGCCATTTGATCCATCTGCCTGCGGGCATGAAAGTCCTTCCATGCCTGGCACATGCTGAAGCGCATTCGTTACACGAATGAATGTTGCGATGCTCCGCTCGCTCCGCATGCCTCTTGCATGCCTCTTGCATGCCTCTTGCATGCCTCTTGCGGTCTTCTTGGCATTCTTCCATTGCCTATGTTATAGCCTTTGCTCAGATCTTGGCTGCGGCCGCCGCCAGTGCTGAGCTGCGCCTAGTGGGCACGCCGCCGGCCCCCGGTGTCGCTCCGCAGGGCCCACCCGTGGAGGCACGTGCTGTGGACTTCCGTAGACTCTGCACGCCATGGGGCCGTGAGGACTCTGCTCTCAGACTCCGCAGAACTGCGCAGACTCGCTTCGTGCGCTCGGCAGGCAGAGGTTGGCGTGGCCTCCCTGGCTGCGCAGCGGCTTGCGGCCTTGGAGGTGCCAAAGGGCGCCAACGGCGCCAAGTTCTGTTTGTGTGGCAAATGGTGGCAATGTGGAAACACCGGTGTCGTATTGTGTCGTGCACTGTTGGCGAGGACTTCAGTGGCAATGCATTGCGTTCAGACCTGCTGCAGTGTGGCTGGCTGGGAGCAGCTGCTCGCCTGCCCTCGTTTCGTGCCAGAATCCTGCTACAAGCCTCTACGGCCTCTATGCTGTACTTAGAAGCCCGAGTGTTTCCAGACCTGCCAGAGCCTCTTCTTATTTGGCCTACACTCTACACAGCACGGCCCGAGGTGGAGCCAGAGGACAGCACCGTCCTGGGAGCCATTCTCGCGCGCTTGCCCCAAAGAAGAGTGTGATTCTCTCTGGGAGATCTGGGCGCACGGATTATGCATTGTCACAAGTGTTCACAAGGCGTGTTCGCTTCTGACTGAGGCCTTCCAACTCCAGCTCCTACACCCCGCAAGAGCTTTCCAAAGCAATGGCATCCCTTATCCCTGTCGTCTGGGACCAAGTTAGGGGCCTCTTTGGGCTCTTTGGACACTGTAGTCGTGGGCTTTTCAGAAGTTACCCCTGTTCAGCTCTTTGTGGACCGTGGGAAGCGAGGTGACATGGTCCATCACAGCCGAGACCTGAGAGTTGTCAGAAAGCGCTGCGCATTTTGTTCGTGGCATACTGAGGCTTTGTTCGGGCAATTCTGCCAAACAGTCTTTGCAGCATGCGATGGCATATCTGTCAGACAGTCTTTATGCGATCGTCACTGAACAAAAATGCCGGCTTGCTCCAAAGTTGCTTCAGCACAGAACCCGAGAGGAGATCCTGAATCTCTGAAGAGCCCGACCCGTAAAGTCTTGGCATCCATTGCCCTCTTCCATCCTGGTGACCTCTCAGTACTGAAGCAGTCGTGCTGAGCATCTTGAATGAACATATCTGAACCGAATGCTCTCTCCACATCGTGTCTGGACTCAAGGCGGCGACACAAACCGGCGTGCCCGTCATCGCTGAGCCGGCTCCGAACCAGCCCTCGCTGGGAGGCAGCGGGGGCAACTCGGGGTGTAGGTGCGACATGTTACGAATGTCTGTAAGCCATTGTAGGGCTTTGAGGAGCAACGCCACAAAGGCATGGCGGCAACAGATTGACATCGAAGTTGACGTTGGCATCAACATCAATATCAGATCATATTGATGCAGATAGAGATATATAATGATATAGATCTAGATATTGATGGGTGGGAGCGCGGGTGCGCGGGTGCGCGGGTGCGCGGGTGCGCGGGTGCGTGGGTGCGTGGGTGCGTGGGTGCGTGGGTGCGTGGGTGCGTGGGTGCGTGGGTGCGTGGGTGCGTGGGTGCGTGGGTGCGTGGGTGCGTGTGTGCGTGGGTGCGTGGGTGCGTGGGTGCGTGCGTGCGTGGGTGCGTGGGTGCGAGCGTGCGTGCGTGCGTGCGTGCGTGCGTGCGTGCGTGCGTGCGTGCGTGCGTGGGTGGGTGGGTGGGTGGGTGGGTGGGTGGGTGGGTGGGTGGGTGTGTGTGTGTGTGTGTGTGTGTGTGTGTGTGTGTGTGTGTGTGTGTGGTTCAAGAAGCTGTCTACACTTCAAGGTTCCATCAACCTGAAAAACCGGAAGTTGCTAAGTCGAATCTGTGTTAGTACCTGAACGCAGAGACGATAATGTGACGCTAACCGATATCGGACGTCGGCTGCAGGAGTTTCAATAGAGCGCATTTGCCAGCAAAGGCGCTCATCACGGGGGCTGCGGCGGTGGTTTCGTAAGACCTGCGGCCACTAAGACACCGTCATCCTGATATCGTTGGGGCCAACATGACAACCCCAATGCGGCTGCACGTGTGCATGTCTGCATGTTTGCATGTTTGTGTCGTCATTAAGTCTTGCGTTGGCATGCTTCGCTAATTTCTGTGAGCGCACCGATCGTATTCTGACTGAGTTTCTGTGAGCGCGTTGTATGCCTTTGGGCCATTTGGAGTGAGTTTCTCTCATAGCGAGCTGTTTGCAACCGTTACACGCATTCGCTTTTTGCCGCAGTATGGCAGCCAGACTCTGGTTGCCAACAGATTGTGGTACCCCAGATCGGGCGTCTCTGTGTGTGTGTGTGTAAGCTTTGGTTACAAAGAGTTTCAACAGCAGATCGAGATTTGAAGATTCAGTTTCGAAGAGGGGGTTGTGCACTTCCAGCTCACTTCCATCAGTCACTGCCCAATGAAGACAGTGATGAGAAGAAGGAGACGTCCTTCTGACACACCTGCGATAGGTGTTTCACTCGTTGAAGCCACTTTGCTGAAAGTTGAGAGAGAGATGAGTTTGTCAGGAGATGAGAGAGAACAGCAACCTCTTGGGGAGTCGCCTCAGTGAGTTTGAGTGTGAGTGTGAGAGTGCGAGAGTGTGAGAGAGAGTGTGTTTGTGTGTGTGTGTGTGTAATCGTGTGCGTGTGCGCGTGCGTGCGCATGTGCGTGCGCGTGTGTGCGCGTGCGTGCGCGTGTGCGCGTGCGTGCGCGTGTGCGCGTGCGTGCGCGTGCGTGCGCGCGCGTGCGCGCTGCGCGTGGCGCCGTGCGTGCGTGAGTGCGTGCCGTGGTGCGTGCCGTGAGTGCGTGAGTGCGTGAGTGCGTGAGTGCGTGCGTGCGTGCGTGCGTGCGTGCGTGCGTGCGTGCGTGCGTGCGTGCGTGCGTGCGTGCGTGCGTGCGTGCGTGCGTGCGTGCGTGCGTGCGTGCGTGCGTGCGTGCGTGCGTGCGTGCGTGCGTGCGTGCGTGCGTGCGTGCGTGCGTGCGTGCGTGCGTGCGTGTGTGTGTGTGTGTGTGTGTGTGCGCGTGCGCTTGTTTGTGTGTTTGTTTGTTTGTTTGTGTGTGTGTGTGTGTGTGTCATGTGTGTGTGTGTGTGTGTGTGTGTGTCATGTGTGTGTGTGTGTGTGTGTGTGTGTGTGTGTGTGTTTGTGTGTGTTTGTTGTTGTTGGTGTGTGTGTGTGTGTGTGTTTGTTTGTTTGTTTGTTTGTTTGTTTGTTTGTTTGTTTGTTGGTTTCAGGGCAAATTTCCCAGGCTTTTTAGAAAAATTGCACCAACTTCCGGAAACTGTGTGGCGATTCGGTTTGGTTCCCTTAGTTGCAGATACATGGCCTGTCTTGGTGCGATTGCGTGCCGCGCCGTCTCTCATGAAACACATGGATTTGTGGGAGGTTTTTGACTTGCTAGTGGCTGATAGGGAGGAGGGTGCGGTGGTCTTCGTTAAGGTCAAAGCACACTTGGATCTTACATCCGCCCTTCCACCATGAAACACGCAGTGCGTAACGCGGAACTTTTCTCGTTCAGCCAGTTGCGTGTGATGAACGCCAAGCAAGAAGCGATGATTAATGTGGTAAAGCAATACCATGCCTTTTTGATTCAGTGTGCCCGCTTTGAGTTTGCCAAATCAGCAGATGCTCGTGCGACGCCTCGGTTTGAGATCTCGGTGTTGGATGTTTCCAGCGCTTGTTTCTCACACCTGGCGCTTGTTGAAGATGACGCGTTGAGGCATTGCCCGTACTCCCAAGCGTTTGCCCGTGCACTCCTGGCCTGGGCTAATGAGCTACAGTGGGCCTGCAATCATACACATGCTGACACATCCATGACTGAGCTCCTTGTCAACTTCATCTTCAGCACGGGGTTGCGACCGCCCGTCAACATTAACAAATTTCGTGCCAAGAAAAGGCCATCATATATGATGCGGGACTCTTGCACATGTGATGTACCGCTGGAAGCATTCACGTTTGCAGAAGACCTGCGAACGTTCCAAGCGGCAGTCAAATGGTTTAGGAAAAGCATGCACGTAGCTCTCCTCCCTGGGGAATGTGTTGTGAATTGTCGTAGTCTGTGCGTGTTGGGCTACAGCCGCCCAACCAAAGGTGTATCATACCGTGTCAAACGTATGTGTGAGCCGGACCCTCGCGCTCACTTGCAAGATTTGTTTATGCAACGTTCTGCTCGGAAGTGGAGGTTTGATTTCCACATCGCTCCTCCGCTCAATTAAGCTTTTTATGCTCGAAGTTCACCTCCGTTGTGACATGGTCACGCGAATGCTGGGCTATGCTCACTGTAGCACAGACTACGCAAAGCGTCAAAGTCAAAATGTTTGTTTGTTTGATTGTTTATTTGCTTGTTTGCTTGTTTGCTTGCTTGCTTGTTTGCTTGTGTGCTTGTTTGCTTGCTTGTTTGCTTGCTTGTTTGTTTGTCTTGTGCATGCATGTTTTCATTTCTTCTCAGCCATCTAATCATAGCCACCACGTGAAAATCAATATGTTCCGAACACTGAGCAGATTCACCGAGATCAAGATTCACCGAGATCAAGCAATGCAGCATTTACCCCGACGGACAACAGCAAAGGAACCATGAGCAGATGCGGAGAGATGAGATGATTCATCCATTGGCCACAAAGTTCTTTTTGTTCAACCATGCCCGCAAGGAAAGCCGGCACGGATAAGCACCTGAGCCAGATGCTAGTGAATTGGCAGGTGGCTTTCTGAACATTGCCCCTGGGCAACTGTCACCGGGATCGCAGGTGCCTGTGGGTTCCGCGCGGGTTCCTTGTGCTTGCGTAATCCACACCCGAAGTTTTGCATGCTTTCTCTCCTCGTGGCAGGTTCTTGTCGAAGTAGAGATGGCCCTGTTCGCGCCTGGAGAAGCAGGCCAAACTGCTTGAACTGTGCACGGAAGTCCTGTGTGGCTTTGTGGAGTTCAGGAGATTCTGAGTGTAGCGAATTCTTAGATGCCTGTAGTCAAGCTTTTTCCGCTGCTTCCGCCATCTCCCACTTTGCGCTTTTTTGCACTTGGTTCGGCTCGAGATCGTGTAGAATTTTTGTGAAGCTGTGGAGATCCAAGATTTTGTGGAGACCCATTATTAAGGCGCCAACGTCGCTTCGCATATGAGCACTGGCAGCACTGGCATGCGAGGTCCGACTCCGACTCCCATGCAAGGTTCTCCGGCACCCTCAATGCCAAGCTCCTCAGGGGGCCATTCCTTGAATCAAGGCATGATGCAACAGATGCAACAGATGCGACAGATGCGACAGATGGGGCAGATGGGGCAGATGGGGCAGATGGGTGAGGTCAAGATTCCAATCAAGCCTGGGAACTCAAGTACCACCGAGCTTGCAAAAGGCGCATCAGAGCCACCCGACATGTTGCAGCTCCACCTTGCGGGCAAGTGCTACCCGTGTGTCGCATATGCCCTGAAACCCGCTGGTTGTTTTAAGGGCGCAGAGTGCATGCATTGCCACCACTGCAATGCCAAGGAAGCCAAAGCAAGGCGGCGGGAACTACAGCAGGCAGCTCGCAGGCGCAAGCGAATGGAGAACGCTTTGACCAAGGAAGGCAGCGAACGTTGGGACAACGAGTGGGACAACGAGGGCTTCGATGGGCTTGGTCACCAGACTCAGACTCCGATGGAAATTCCGATGGAAATCCCAAAGAGCACCCCTCCACATCCGCAACCTGCGCAACCTGTGGCACAACCACTGGAGTCATTGGAGACGTTGTTCGACCAGATCCCCACAGCTCCTCCGTGCCCAGTGTTGCCGGATGTCCAGCCCCGTTTCGGAAGTTCCGGCAAGCAGTCTTTCTGGCTGTGACTCCCCGAAGTTTTTGAAGGTTTGTGGCAGCTCTCGAAACTGCGGCTGTTTGCGGCTTGCTGCCAGTAGCCGTACTGTCGTACTCCACTTTCTTTACCTAGCTCTTCTGTGTCTCTTTGCAGTTCTTGGGTGAGAATGCAGAGCAATTCCATTCAAGGCCGTGGCAGAGCAAACTGCAGTAGCATGCAGAGAGAGTCCTAGTCTGGAATCTGCACGAGGAGGAAAGCTTCGGAAGGTTACCGGTTCGCAGCAGGGTGCAGCCGAACGGCTCACTGCTCGCACCGTTCAAGGGGACCAAAGCTACCTGCGAGTTGACAGATTGGTGCTGTCACAATCCATTCCGGCCAACAGCCAGAGTCACGATTCGAGTTGAACATTGCACGCTCCAGTTTGAGCAGGAAGGCGCCGCGGTGGATCCAGATGGTTCACTAGATTCACTAGTGAATTGGTAGCTGCCCTGCGCTGCATAGAATCGCAGAACCGTGCACGACTGAGAACGGCAACAGCAACAGGTCTTTCTAGCACATGGCGAAATTGCATTGACTGTACATGGAACTGAACCTTTACAGAGCCTCCTCGAGAACCTAGCTTGCTGCCTTGAAATACCGCAGAACGGAGAAAGGTCAACACCGATCCTATCCAACTGCGTGCTCCCAGCCCTGCATAAACTGGAGCAGAGAGGTCTGTGTGGACACAGACCCTCCTTCACAAGATCCTTGTTACGGTTGTCCAGTTTGGGGCAACATGAGTGGGTAGCTTGCCGCCGTAACTTTTGCAGTGGTAGCTGGCAGTGCGCACTCGTTCCCGATGTCGGACAAGATACCCACATTTGTTACCGAGTCGTTCTGCTCTGGCAGGTTTTGAAGCGACCTTAGACGTTACTCCAGACAGAGCCGTGCTTTTCCAGCGCTTACCTTTCGCATCATCTTGGTGCATCTTGGTAGTGAAGAACGGCCATGATTTCCCGATGAAGGGTGCCCTGCAGCCAACAGTCTGCATTCTGGCTAGAGTTGCTGCCGGTGCTAGTAGACAGTGAATGGGGTAAGCGAGCTCCAAGTATTGATGTAACCTTGTACTTACCACTACATGTGAGGTCTTTGGCTTTGACATCCAGCAAATTCACCAGGGGGTGACAAAAGATGTAGACAAGATGATTGGGTGTGGGCTTATTCATCTACTGCCTTCTATTTGCTTTGTGAGCTGCCCTGCCCCCGAGTGCCGGCATCTAGCACTTGTGTATGGCATGACATGCTGCAGTTTGGCAGGCATGACAGACCGTGATTTGATGTTGACACTTGCCAGTCTTGTGGCCGGAGTTGCCTGGGCCCACCATAGGAGTCCATTGACTGGCCTAAGCCATGGCGTCTTCCCATAACTGCGCAAGTGCTCAAAGTCCTTAAACGAGTGCAGAATAGGGAATGTTGCAGACGAGCGCTTGGAAGTTTCTGGGGAGCGTTCACATCTCCGGCCGGCAAAGACAAGTCTTTTGTCACAGCCGTCAAGATTTTTGCAATCCCTGAACCCACAACAAAGCACGTTACTCGGGAGGCTTAGGCCCAAGCCCGTAAAGCCTCACAACGAATGCGCCACCGATATTTGGTCTCAATGCTTCTGTTGCAAAGCTTCCGCCCAGAAGGAAAGCCTCCCTGAAGTTTGTCGTCCAGCATGTACGCTCGGAGGACGTCCGATTGCGGCCCTGGCGCCTCTCAGCCCCAGTAGTCCCCAGTACTAGACTCATGAAGTCACGTCATCTTGCGCCTCAGCAATCTGCATCTCTTGTCATGCGCTTCTGTATACGGACAAGCACGACGGGTTACTCCTGTGCATCTTTTGCGGGTGACTATGTTCTTGCTCCTGCAGTGAACTCCTCTGATGAGTAGAAATTAGAAACATATACACGCATGTTCAAAGTTAACTTGTGCCTTACATAATGGCGGATTCACATCATGAACAGCAACGTTGTTGACACACACAATCTGTAACATCCATGGTTTGAAGTTTGGCTACTTGTTTTGCCAAGAAATTTCACGTAGGAGCCTGCCTGGTCACATTGCAAGACTCTACAACTCAAGCAATGCTCCCGAAATCTCCCGAATATCAGCCGGCACAACGGCACGGCGTCGCAAGACGATTCGGTATCAGGTTAGGAAATCAGCGTACTTTAAGTGCCACTGAGAGCAGTCAAATTCTCACTTAGGGGCTCTGGGGAGGCGCCCCAATCAATGAATCGAATTCAGATGCTGCAATGCATGGCCGATCCGGGGCCTGAGATTGCTTAAGGAAACCGTGATTATAGCCCCCCCCCCTTTTTCCAGAGGATATGAGCGTCACAGGACTCCAGGGTTGAGTCATGCAGCACCTTTGTCTAGATCCGGCAGATTCTTGCAGCAAGAAGATGTTTCACTTGTCCGAGCGGCTAGGTCCTCGACTTTTTGCTCCAATCTTGATCATGATGTGAATGATGTGCTTCATGCGAGAGATGACTCAAAACGATGGGCCATCCTGCTTGAGCTACTTGGTGTCTGAGCTTAAGCCCTGACAGGACAGGACCGTCCGCCCTAAACCCTCAAGAGCTTGAAGCCCCGAAAGACTTCATCGTTTGAGCCCTCAAGCCCACAAGCCGCCTAGCCCATCCAGGCTGGGCCACTATGGCACATGACTAGGAACACCAAGGGTTTTCTCTGAACCAGCCCAAGTCACAACATGTTGAAGCTGTCTGTCCAGGAGCAGCGAGCCCCGCACCTCTTCTGAACTCTGGGTTCTGGGGACGGTTGTGTGTAAAAACCATCAAGGCTGTTGTGGGACGATGTGAGGAAACTCCGTTCTCACGTTGCCCTCAACGTCTTGCCTAGTGTCACCTTCCGTCTTTCCCACAGATTCACCTGTACTGCTTCTCATCATCGCAATTTCTTGTCCAACGCCACATGAGATGCACGCCTCAAACCCGAAGCCAAGCCGCAGAGGATCGGGGGTCAAAGCGAGGAAGAGTTCGGTGGAGGTGGAAGGGGCGCCCGCTCAACTCACTCCGTTGCGCACCATCAGTCCAAGGCTCCGTCCACTTCTAGGAGCTATTGTTCTTTGTGAATGAGTTCTAGTTCAGGTTTTTGTGAGATTTCAGTGCAGATTTTGAATATCAGGGGTGCACCATCAGTCCATGGCAGCCCCCGGAGTTCAAGGTTTTGAGGATTTCGTCCGCGAACGGCGCAACAGCGGCACAGGGGCAACGGCACAACGGGTCCGACCACGTGCTCCATCAGGCACGCGCTCCCAGCACGGCGCATCGGTGGAGCGGCGCCATGGCGTAGACACGACCCGTGCCGCAAGGGCGTGCGCAAGGCACGGCGCGTTGGCGTACGCTCCGCATGGCTGGCCCTGTCTGCACCTGGCGCGGCGCAACGGTGCGACGGCATAAAACCCTTTTCGCACATCCATCCTGTCTGTGATGGAACAGTTAGCATTTGGGATTTATGGCTTGGGTTTTGGGGGCAGGGTGCGTGCAGCCACCAGGTTGAAATGCTTCATTCGAGACCATCCCAAAGCGCAGTCTTTGGGAACGACTCAGAAGTCTGCTGAACTGAGGTGCCTTTGCGTACCATGAGACAGGAGGTGGCACCAGCATTTAGCCTGGCAGGAACTTTGAGTTGTTCTGAGGGCCCGGGTCTGGATTGGATGCGGCACACCTCTATATCGAAGTTGCTTTAGAGTTTGATACTTTGCCCAAAAGCCGAACAGAGACCCCAAGTAGCCTGAGAAGTGCGAAGGTGCAAGTACTCATGGCTGTCAGAGCCCGAGCCAGGCCACACTTGCGGTGAACTTGCCACCAGCAGCCGGCTATCTCAAGGTTGAAGAGAGCCAGGCGCCGCATTCGAAGCGTTTAGGCTTAGTGACATAGTGGGTCCCTGTTCCAGTCCCTTACCTAGAAGGGATAGCGTTCGATACTCTTAGCTGCAGAAAGCGTATGTTTATGCACAAAGATTTCGCTTTCAAGGTGTAGTTGTTCGACATAGCTGTCCTGCCCAAAAAGCATGACCCAAAAAGAGTAGGTCTGATTTTGCCTTAGCAGAAGCAACCACGAGCAGCTAGTAGGACCCCGTTTTAACGGGGCACAGATACCCCACGAAGACTCTCCGGGTTAACTTTCGGTTAATAGAGGTCTTACTAGGGACTGTCATAAAAGGGGAAAGGGCGCAACATGCGAGCACCTGGGTGTGGTGTTGTGGCCTTGGCTCCATGTAGCAAGTGTGTCCACACGCACTTAAACGAGTCCTTAGGCATGACCCGAGCGTCCTCCCTGCCGACTCCAGGCCAATGCGCCGTTTCGGACATTGATGCTGGAGAACATGCGCTGGTCGTCGGAAACCTTGCCCCTGCAGTGTTGCCCCAAGTGGGTCCGTGTGGGTTCCAACATCCCTTCCGCAAAGCTCTCGCCAAGTCTAGAACAGTCAACTGTAAACCTCGGAAAGGCCGAAGGCTGTCCCCCGACTTAAGTGACGTTCGGAAGCTCAAGCCCTTTACTTTGCCCAAGGTATCGTTTCGAGGCTGCCCACTTCCAAGCACAGGGCCCCACGGAAGCAGTAGGATGTGCTCCAATTCGGCATTCTCGCCGTTTCGGGGGCTTGTCGTGGAGGCTGTTGGCATGCCAAAGGGCGGAGGTGGTGTTGGGAGAAAGCGAAGTGGATCTTCGGTCTCAGGTTGAATCGTGAGCTTGCAGCGACAGTTGTAGCCGCTGCAATGGACTTCAGGTGAGCGCCGGGTTCTGCTGAACGATTGGACCTACGATCCCAAGCTAACAGTCGCGAAGACGCAGAGAGCGCCGGTTCATCCACTAGGGCAGTAGGGGGCTGCTCGAAATTTTCTTGTCAAAGTTTCAGTTTCAGTACTGTGACCTTTGGTGTGTTCCTGAGTGTGTTTACACTATCTGTAGGGTTGAAGAAGGTTGTGAGGATTTTTGCATTGTCACGAAGCTCATGTTTAATTACTCAGCTGCTTTGCCCAACCCCAAAGCCACGCGCCCGAACACTAGTTTCAGTCATGCGGTGCCTGTGGTCCTCGCTTCTGGCTGGCACCATGTTCATGGCGGTGTCCACTGGGGCTTGGTGGTCTTGGACCACTTGGACCTACATCCGATCGCTCGAAGCACGCTTGGAGACCCACCTGGCCGCTTTGGAAGCGGGCCTTGAGGTGAACAAGCGGATCAAGGGCGTCACTTCAGAGCCAAGTCCTGATGGGCAAGATGTGCTTCCAAAGACTTTGCCCATGCGCTTGCCAAGGCGCTTGTCCGAGAAGGAAGTTACGGTGGCATCAGAGGACTTTGACTCATGGAAGACCTACCTCACGCATGGACATGGTTGGTGGTTCGCCTATTTAAACTCCGTGGTGCAGTTTGGCGACGAAACGGGTTGTGAAGAGCTTGAAATGCCTTTCTATTCCTACCAGTATGGGGCACCACTATGTCAGGACATGAGTGTCATTGAGAACGTCACCAAATATGCAATGGATGGCAATGAAGAGCGGCTCTTCTCTGTACTTGAGAAGCACCCTGACCAGGACCTGAAAGATTTGGCCCTGGCTTCAGCTGCCTTTGGCTTGCCAGTCGTCAGAAGAATAATTGATGACGAGCTGGATCGTGCTTTTTTTGAAATGCAGTATGCAAAGGAGGAGTGGCGTCTTGGTAGCCGCAAAGAAATTGTCCGACGCTTGTTCACAGACGGAGCATCTGGCAATTCCAACTTTGTTGACGTTGGCTTTAAGCTTGCAATGAAGGAGGAACTTCAAGTTGAGCCTGAACTGCTCCGATTGCTTACTTGGGGAACCTTGAGGAGGTGGCTTTTACCAAGTCTGTCCACTGCTAAGTCCAATCCCTTTTCTTCTTTTTTCGGCTTTCAGATGGCCCTGCAGCAAGCAAAACTTGGCCATGGAATCAAGGGTCTTCCGGCGTCTGTCTTCCAGTATGCCATAGATCATCCAGAATTTCTTGATGAGAGGAGCAGTGAAGATCGCACCTTGTTGATGGAGGCAAGCTCACTGCATTCTTGTGCTGAGCCAGGAAAGGACGATCCTCCTGACAACCAGCCTGCTTTGGCTCGCCGCCTTCAAGAAGAAGATCCGTGCCAACTGCCGTACTACACCGTCAAGAGTATGCATGAGGCACTGGGTGTGTCCTTCACTGCCATGGACGAGGTGGGCAAAAACGCTGCGATGGTGGCTGCGCAGCACGGAGCCTTGGACAGAGCAAAGGGTCTTCAGAGCGCCATGCTCGAAGAGGAAATGAAGAAGCAGCCGTGGATCTACCACTTCCCATTCATGCTTTCTTTTGTGCTGGTACTGCACATGGCGCTTGCCTTGGTGACCTTACTATTTGACTGCTGCTCCGGTGGATGAGAGTGGTGGCTTGTGCGAGATTTTTTGATGAAGAACGGTCTGCTGACGGCATGCAATGTCCTGATCCAGTATCTCGTGGTACCTGAGGTGCTCCTCGACCCCAAGGCCATGCTGGAAGTCTACTACAACATACATCTGCCTGCCAGCTGGCCCATCTTTGGCTTGCTCACAGCTATATTCACCGTCTACACGATCTATGACCTTAATGATGCCCTTCGCCTCGAACGAGAGGGCTTTGGGGTCCCAAGTGTGCAGGCTGCGAATGTGTACCAGGACCCAAAGGTATCCATCTTGACGTGCATGCACACCTTCTTGCTCTCTTGCATCTTCGTCTGCATGTATTGGAACAAAGTGGTGGGTCCTGTCCAGATGAATCTTTTCACCAGATTCTGTTGGGCCTTCGCGCTGTTCGTGCAGTACTACCTCAGCTCTAAATTCCGATCAAGTCCACAGGCCTCCCAGGGACTTGAACATTTCGGCCGGTGGGCTGTGTGTTTGGAGGACCAATGCGGCAACAACTTGTGGGCAGTCCTCTTGAAAAAGGGCAAGCTGGAAGCAGACGGGGAGCCAGCTCCACTGCTGAGCCGGCCCGAGGTGCTGCTGCGTTTCTTAATGGATTACATCGCCAACGGCTTCTTCCGCATTTTGATCCTGTACTCCCTTCCGGTTTTCTTGGCCACTTCTGAGCAGGCCAGTGACTTCGCCCTAAATGCATTCGCGGTGACCTTCATCTCGGAGATAGACAACCTGTCCGAGCCTGCGGAGTACCAGATTGAAGGGTACAAATCCCTAGAGAGCGGAAAGCGCGAAACTAAATGATATCTGGTACTGATGTATATTTAGCCTATTTAGACTTAGTCTAAGTGCTGGACTGATCAGTTCCCACCTGGCACAATGCGGCTGGTGGGAGTTGCCTTGAGGTTGAGTGAGTCCTTCAGCGACCCGCCCGTTCTTAGGAGTGTGATCCAATGATAAACGAATATTCCTATGCTGGGCTGCGGCTGTAACAGACGGCTGTAACAAAGAGATGCTCGATCCCAAGCCTGCACAAACCAGGCTGTGAAAAGGCTTCTATTGTTCTTTCTTTCTCATGATGTGAGAGTGTTGATGCGAGGAGACCCCTCTCCGATTTATTTGCGAGGGTGAGCAGAGAATTTGCGACAAGTGAGGTCGTTTTGCTTCCGCGCAGAGAAGAGAAGCTGCTTCTGCGTGGACAGGATGGCCCAGGGTTTGTCAACAGTTGCAGTTTATTAGGCCTTTTTCGGCTAAGTCCTTGCCGCTCTGAAGATCTTGAGGGTTTAGGGATAAGCGGACATCCCAAGCTTTAACCATGAGAGGCCTCATCCCTAGCATGGGACCCGCAGGTTCGGGATGGACTTGGCACCTTCGCGGATACTGCGCCCGAGAGCCTTGGATGTCTTGGGTGGACGCCTTGGATTTGTTTTCAGGTGCTTTGGAGTCCTTGTCGACTGTGTACAAGCCTACACCAACTCTGTTGCCTCCGGAGGCCTATAGTGGCTGCACGATCCCGAATCTGAAGTCTGGAAGCCCAAGGACTGTCCAGCTGATCTCTAGCGCAACAGACGCCGCCTGGCACGGGCAGCAAGATGACAGTTCCTCAATTGGTGGGCCTTCTTTGTGAGTGCGATACAGGCTCCTGATCAAAGAGTAGCTGAAGACAGCTTGGAGTGAGTGGAAGAGGGTGAGCGCCCAAAGCATCGCCGTGTGCCTGTAGCCAAGGAGAAGGGACTTCGTGCGCTCACCGTAGCCCGCCCGCGAAGAGATCTTGTCATTGCTCCATGCTGGTTCTACAGGGTGCTGTGAAGAGTCGGAGTCTCCAAGAATGTCCGAGGAGTTTCAGCAGGGCCAGATGTCGGCCGCGGAGTACTCGCCCAGGAGCCCGGGGGATGAAGTCCTCCTCGAACTCCCAAAGGTCAAAAGCCCCGAAGCCCGAGAGTCCCCCAGTTCCTCCCAAGTTCCTACGCCTCCAGGAAGGTTGGGGAGTCCATCGCCCTGATCCAATCCGTGGCCAAGGGGTTGGAACCTGCCCAGCAGCTGCAGCTGTGGCAGGCTTTGGGGAGAGACTGACGTGTCCAGAAAGAGCTGGGGTGTCAGGGTTTGAGGTTTAACGGGTTTGACGTCTGGCCCACACGGACATTGAGCAGTTTTCGCTCTTGGGGTTGTCCGCATCGGTACCTATGGACCAAGTCTCCACAGGTTCAGGGTTTGGCCAAAATGCTGAAGACTCTGGCCAAATACGACATTCTTTGATGTCTCTCCAGTTGCTAACTTCACGCTTCACGTCCCAGGCACCCGCTCGAGCCCCAAACCCTCTGAATCAATCCTATGCTGTATACGCCTAAGCCTTACAAACTTAGAAGCCTTGCCTGATCCCCCAAAACCCTGGAGCCCAAGGCTGTCAAGGCCAAAGCCCGGCAGTCTAACGCCCGCACACAAAACGATTTGGCGGCACTTTGGGGGCTGAAGTCTCCAGGTTTTCAGGTCCGGACTCCCCAACTGCACGGGGTTGGATTGGAGACTTGAGATAGTTTTTCAGGGTTCGGGCCAGGATGTGGGCTATGCTGCGTTGAGCGACGCCGTCAACATCTCTGTGACCAATTGCTCGCAGGACACCTCGTTCAACCAGAGCGAACAAGATACCTTGATATACCATGGCGGTTGCCCCAAATGAGGGTCCCCTTTTTTTTGGAGGCCCTTTACGAAAACAACCTCCCACAACAAGCAATGCCGTTTGTGAGAAAGCAGGCCATACCGTTTGCAAGAAAAAACCCTTGTTTAGGACATCAGGACAAGGACCCCCATCAACCCCTGCCATCTGGCAGGACTGTGGATCCAATGGGGCGTGCTCGGCTTCAAACTATGCTGAGATCTCAGCAGCTGTGGCCCAATGCCCCATGCAGCTCTGCATGAGACTGTGGTAAGGTTGTTATGGCTGGGAGTACTGTGTTGGTGACGAATGCGACTTGGCTGAAAGGGGAGGGATGGACCAGGACGGAAGGACAGTTGCGGAGAAGTGGACCGCCGAACAACCGAAAAACGCATCAAGTTGAGTTTGCCAAGAGCCCCGTTTCACAGGCAAGATACGTAGATCTGCCATCTAAGTATTGTCACACTCCAGAACGACTTGAAGGCTCCGATGTCGAGCAGCCTATGTATGAGTTCCGATCCATGCTAGACCAGTAGCGTCTATTTCGAAAGCCATTGATCAAAAGTTGAAAAGTCGATGCTCGGATAACCACGAAGCCTCCGGCAAGGCGACCCGTGACACGCCAGTCTCCAGTGGGCAGAGATTGGTCGAGGTGCAAAGCTCCGTGGCGCTAAACTTCTCCATTGATGTTTTTTTTCTCTGCTGCGCCCCTCTGAATGCTCCCCGCAATTGGACGCTGTTTTTCAATCAGTGTCTATAGTAGGTACTTTCGAAACAAGGTCCCGTAGGGACCCCCCCCCTGAAGGGGGGCACACGGACACCGGAAACTTCAATGCCCGAGGTTGGACGCGCTGTGCCTGCAATGCTGGCTGGCAGGGAGAGGCATGTGAGCTTCGGACCTTCGAGGAGCCTTGGCTTGAGCTCATGGCCCCTGAAGGGTTTAGGCGGGAGAAGGCACGAGTAGGGCATGGGCGTCTAGCCACACACAACCCACACGCCCATGTAATTCGTTCAAGGATTGCAAGGTTGCAAGGGTGCGGCAAGATGTAAAAGGAGATCTAGGACGTGACGCAAAGCCGGTGAAGGCCCAGTCCCAGCAGCTCCTCACCGGGGCCGTGGTGGAGGCCCTTCGTGGCCTCCTCAGCTCTCCGCTGCAGCTGCAGGCCGGAGAGCACAACAGCGACTTTATGAGCAGCATATGAGGGCCTTGGGAGAGAAGCGCTTTTGCTGCAGGTCCTCGGAATGACTTATCAGCAAGGCGCGAGGGGGCTCCATTCGAGAGCTGGGTGGGGGGGGTTTCTCAACTTAAGGCTAGGCAAGAATCCCCCCCAACATATTGTAAGAAGGGACCCCCTGTTGGGGGAACTCCCCACACGCTCTGCCACAGAGACGCTGACCCACAATGTCTCGAGCGTTGCAGCCTCTACCCAAATTAGACCTTTAAACCTGCTCGTGCTGCTGCAGGAGCATTGGCTAGGCTGATGAAGCTGCTGGGACGTATCTGCGAGGACTGTCGGTGTCAACCTCAGTTGGCGAAATTTAGATTACGTCGTTCATCGATCTGTGATGGATTTCGGGCTACAGCTTGTGTTCACATTTGTTCACATGGCTGAACCCAGGCGAGTCTCCTTGAACGTTCTCGCATCCCTCACCGGGCTCGCAGCAGGCCTTACGCTCTACACTTGGGCTGCTTAGGAGGTGCCTGCGTTGCCAGAGTGTTCACGGTCTTATGTGGCACCGCCACGCAGACACTGCTTAACGCTTTGATTGGTTAGGGTGTTGACCACAGCATCTGGCACAACCATCCGAGGTTCGTTGTCAGGGGCTAGGACGGCCAGGAAAAAAAGGTGCGCGTAAGCGAAGACGCTGTGAAACCGAAAGAAGGGTGGAGGAGGAAGATTGCTGGCACGGAAGCTGCTAATCTTGCCGCCCCCCGACAAGTGCTCGTGGCAACGTGGTGGTGTGGTTCCATGAGGAAGACAGCTCACCAAATCACTAAGCAGGTCGGCTTCAGTAGCTTCAACGCACCAAAGTTGCAGGGTATTGCAGAAAGACTCTGGCACCTGGTAGACGGATACTCAGAGCGGGCGTTTTTTTCGTTTTTTGCCTAACCGGGGCAAGGGTTCGGCAAAATTTTCGGCTCCTCGTGCACCCCGGGAGGCCTTGCCGGAATGTTGCCCAAGTCGGCGCTCCGGGTCGCTGCTACGGAGACGGCGGCCCTGTCACTCTGCCCCGAACAGAGTAGAACAGACTGTGGCGACGGTTGCGCTGTTCTCCCAGCGTATTCGGGAGATTTCGGGAGTGTAGGGGCGCTTGAGATCTTTCGGTTCTGGGGCCCTAGGGCTCCGCGGCTTCATCGCTAGCGTTTCCCGGCTTAGTATGCTGTGGGATTTGGGGGGCTTGGGGGATAGAATCTTGTGAGGATGCATAGGGCCTTCGGGGCTCCTGAGCTTGCTGCTTTGTTTTCCTTGCTGCTGAGGTGCATCCAAAGAAGTAGCAAAGAAAGCCCAAAACGACGCGACAAGCCGGGAAGACTCGAGAATCACTGCTGCCTCCCAATCCGAGAGCCCTGAACTGAGGATGTCGCAGATCTACGCCTGCATTCCTTCCGAGGACCTGTAGGGGCGAGTGGCCTTCTAGAATCGAGAAAAAGCTGTGTTATCATATTTTGGTTTGTACTAGTTGCGCGGAGATGGATGTCAATGTATGTCAATGTCCTGTGTGACTGTTGACAGCGGCTGGCTTCTCGTGGCTTTGGCTTTGGGTCAACGCTGAAGCTTCGCCCTCTGTGCCGTTTCGATAGGCTCCCATGGACTCCATGGCGGAGATGCCAGCACCTGCGACCGTGTTGCTCACGGCCTTGGGCAGCTCGGAGGACCGCCGCTAGGATGTTGGGGGCGCTTCTTTCCTAGAAGACTCGAACTTCGAACAAGCCCTCGGTGAAGAAGAACATAGAAGAACGGTACACTGTCGGGCCTCATGGCTTCGGGCTCCTGTCTTTGCGCTCCCAGTTTCTGGGTTTGGGATGTGGGCCCGGTCAGGTTTGCCGGAGGATCACTGGCACAAACACGACCGTTTGCTACGATCTCGCAAGTTCGGAGGCTGGCGCTAGACATGCGGTGCAATGTGTCAAGGTGAATCCTCCCTCAACCCTTGAGCGCAGACACCCATGATTTACCCAAAGCAAGGGCCCACAAAAAGGGGGCATCGCGCGGTCCTGACGTACTCGGTTAGGGTTGAGGGTTGAGGGTTTGGCAGGTCGGGGTGCTCCAGTCCTTTTGCTCTTGTTGTTCTGACTCTTGCCATCTTGTTTTCTGAGTCGGTGTTTTTGCTTTTGGACTTGATCTACCCGGTTTTCGACTCATGTTCCCGACTCGGCGCCCACATGGAGTCAGGGCAAGGTCGTAGGGTGCGAAAACATGCAGCCGCTAGCTCACGAGATCTCACGAGCTTAGGGTCATGAAATGTATTGGGCTCATGCTGTTCAGCAAGCAGACGTACCTGTCTCGTCTGCAAAAATGCAAGGTGCGCATGACGTGCACCCTGCTTGAGAGAGAGTACCAGGCGCCTGTTGACGGGGAAGCTCTGGATAACTTAGTTCAAGTCAAGGCTTTCCCAGTGCCTCCCCTGATCCCCAGTCTCGGGGTCAATGACATGATTTTCGTCGCGTCGTCACTGTCACAGGCTGACATCTACCTGAACCCAACGGCCTCCACCAGCCTGGGCCACAGCGGTGATAGCGTTGTTTTTCATGTTGCGCAACATCTTGGTTGAGAAGCCGTAGAGGGCAACGCGACCGCGAAGGCTCGCAGGTCAGCTGCCGCGCCAACTTGAACCTGGGCCTTTCAGCCCCCTGGTTTTGATTGGTTTTGTGGCTTATGGGCTTGTGGAGATGAAATACGACTGATAGGCCTGGGGTTTTCCTTGGGCAGCTTGGCAGATGCCTTGGAATCAGTCTCCCATTGAGGAAGAGGCAAGCAAAGTGGGAGCAAAGCGACATCTCAGGACCCCTATCCATGTCCATGTTCGGTGCCTGATGGCACCTTCCTGGGCTTTGGGCCCCTTGGTTCCAATATCTGGGGGGGATAAAAAATAAGTCGTCGGGTGACCTTCTTCTTTTAAAGGAAAAGACACTGATACGAAGACTAAAACCAACGCAGCCTCCGCCTCGGCGCAAGTAGCACGTTTCCAAGCTCTCAAGGCCCAGGACGTGGACCCTGACCAAAGGGTCACCACGGCCTCCAAAACGAGGAAAAAAGACAACATCTCAAACAAAGAATCAATAATTTCAATGTTTACGATACTTCAAGTGCACCGTGAAGTAGTGAAAAACATGCAGATAGTCCATAAACTATATATCCCTATACTGATAAATAAGGTAACAAGCCAAATGTTTATAGATCATTCTTGAGTTCTTGTGTTAGTTTATCTGTGAGTCCTTGTGTTAGTTTACTTATTATGACAATCTACGTCCAACAACAAGGTCTGGGTCAGGAAGGGCGGACGGAGGTTCAATAGGATGCATGGAGGTCCATACACACAAATTGGGAAGGAGGTCTTACGGGACGGTCCGGAAAAGCTCATGGAGATCGGATTCAAGAACGGTCCTACAAAGGACCACGTGCCTCTGAACCGACCCAACAACATCGTGGGGTGATAAAGCAAGAGGCTTGCCAAACGGCTTAGCTGGTGTATGTGATGATGTAGACCCCAAACTTGTAGGAGACCCTCAGAACCCCCACCCCCCACCCGCCCCCCCAATTCTCGGTTGCGGGATGCAGAAGACTGCGAAGGCGATCTGGACATGAGCCGCCGCTCAGTGAGACCCTGGGAGTGAGGAACGAGAAGGCCCTTTGCTTCTTCTCAGGGAGAGTGGTCGAAGACTAAGATAGCTTGGCTTAGCTTGAGACACCTCGGGATCCTGGGATGGGCCGGGAGAATTTGAGTAACTCGGACCGGTTTTGTCGTGAACCTTTTCGCGGATGCCGTTATGGCATGTTGAAGGCCCCTCAAAGGCTGGTCTCAGTATTGGTGAAATGGCGAGGAAACAGCCAAGGTGGCCGTAGATGCCAACCTGCACATGAGATGCCCGCGATTAAGCGCCCAGAGCTGGGCGTCCAAGTGAGCCGAGGTGTGGAAACACAACGTTTCAACTGCGAGTGTTCATCACCTCTGGGCGATCGATAGTGTCACCCTCCCAGGAACAGCTGAGTGAACGGTTCTAACTCTGCTTGGGCTGCATGAGCAGCTTATTCAATAAGGCCAGTCGGTAAGCATCATCACATCACCATCATCACATCATCGCATCACCATCATCATCATCATCACCATCATCATCATCATTGTCATCATTGTCATCCTCATCTTCATCCTCATCCTCATCTTCATCTTTATCTTCTTCCTCATCATGCTTCATCTTTATCATCTTCATGCTCATCATCTTCATCTTCGTCCTCATCATCAAGAAACTCCGTGATGTGGTGTCGACTGGGCATTGACACATCGATGCTGATGCATCACCTTTCGATGGTTCCAGTTTTTTTTTAGTTCAGCCCGGAAGAAGTCTGGTAGCAAATGCAGCACCCTTCAAAAGACTGACCCCCGGGGCAGGACATCCTGTGGCGAGAGCTGCTGAAGCTGTTCTGGCGCCCTGGCAGCCCTGGCATGCCTTAGGTTGAGATGCAAGAGATCCCTCTACTCCGGCAAGGCAGGTCAAACTCCCAACTACCCCGCCAAAAAAAAAACACGCCCCCCTTAGACCCCAAGCATTGGATGCAGCTCAGGAACAGCACCAAGTACGGCGGAAACGGGAGCTCCATTCGTGTTCCGCAACCCGGCCCAGCCTTGGCGGCGGCGCTGTGGCTGGAGGACTCAGAACACGCAGAAGTCCACTCGGAGTCACAAGGAGTCACCAGGAGTCACATAAATGTCATGCGCTTTTGAAAGCATGTCTCAAACAGACGACAGCCAGCAAAGCGGCAACCATCAGGAAGCTCAGAAGGCTCAACGCCGAATGTTCCCCACCACGCCCTGAGAGCTTGCCTGAAGGAAACGGGTGCTCCGGCCAGCGAGGTTTCAGCCGCCCTTGCGCAGGCGAGGCAGAAAGAGGCAGAACTTGGAGTGACCCTTTGTTCTTCGTGGAGCTTTCTCTCAGGCTGAGCACTGGCGTTTGGTGCAGCAGGCCGTGATCTATAGATTCTCTGTTGACCCTATCCAGCGGCGTTTGATTCTTATTGCTTGGCTCAGGGGACCTTAGCAGCACTGCAAAGCCTGGGCGAGCGCCTTGTCTCCTCGCTGCTGGCCGGAGTTATCCCTGGGCAGGCAAAGGGGTTACGGAGCATTTCCGCAAAGAGCCCAAGAATCCCCCACAACAAGCGAACACAACCTCGCACGACCCACGAAAAATGGCGCCTCCGCAGTGCCTTTTAGCCGTCCTAGCCACTTGCAATCCATTGCAGGCCCCGCGAACCGTCGATTCCCTGCCCGTGGCAGCCTCTTGGGCTGTGCCGACGCGAGGCGGCATTGCAAAGGTCTCATAATTTTAACGCTACGCGACCCGCCTCGGCCCGGCCCAGCGCATCCGCGTGAGCATGGTGATTCCGCAGCGCCCAAGTCGCTGGACCCCAAGCAATAAGGGTTGGGTTTAGGGTTCCGGGTTTATGGTTTATGGTTTGGGGTTTAGGGTTGAGGGATAGTTTAGGGTTGAGGGATAGTTTAGGATTGAGGGCTTAGGGCTCAAGGTTCACGCTTTGGGGTTTAGGTTTTTTTTGGGTTTAGGGTCAAGAGACGGTTCGGCTTGGATTGATCGTCGGGCTTAAGGTTTCAGGTTCGGCTCGTGTAATGCATCCCCGGCCGTGCTCACACCAGTTGAGCCTCGAAAACCCGCTCACCCATGTTCTGCGCTGGATTTGGGCGTGGGCCGCAGGGGGAAGGAAGGGGGGGGGGAAGGGAGGGGGGGGGGTGCGGCGGGGGGGGCAGGGGGGGCCCTGCTGGGAAGGGCTGCAACTGCCTCTGGTCCTGGCGAAACATCCGCTTGCGGACCCTGCTCTCCTAGGGGGGGTACCCATTTGAAATGGCTTTGGGGGAGGATTTGGAGGGGGGTGCTTGTTCTGACAACCTATACACCTTCGGCCCGAGGATGTATTGTAATGTGATGTGTACCGCGATGCAACATGTCCGACGCTTCCAAGGAGCGTGATGGAGACCAACACGTCGCAGGGCAGGCGAATTGACTTGGTTTTGTGTTCTGGGAAGGGCCCCTTCCGCCCCTTCCTTCGGCCGTCAATGTGATCCCGACAGGATGGGGATTGCAGCCGTCTCACTGGATTCCTTGGGGACGCAGCCCGGCACAGTTTTTTGACTTGCTCGCACATAGAAGAATCTTGTGAGACGCTATTTGACTTATGATGTTCACCTTGCATTCCAGGAAGATTGAGCTGGAGTACCGGTCGTAGCGGCCTCAGCCATTCTCAGCCATTCTCAGCCTAGCAGCCGAGCGGCGTTGAAGCGTGTTGAAGCTACCGGGCTCTTCTCGAAGCATTGAGGTCCGATGAGTCCGTTTCTGGCACGCTGCTTCCCGGTGCATTGCCATACAAGGCATGGGTTGCTGGTACTGGCAACTGCCCCGCACCCTATCCCCATCAGCAAGAATTTCATGGTAGCTGAGTTCCAAACGCAGTGCTCATCGCATTGCTGGAAGGTTCCTTTGGGAGCGCTCAGATGGAAAAACAAGAGCCAGGGTCCCAGCTGACCCAACAATGATCCGCGATCCAAGAGATCGTCAGGACATTGCTGTGACTTCTTGCCTCCTCTGAAGGGAATGGGAGATGTGGGCTGAACAGTAAGGTCACAACCTCTACTCGAAGATGGACCCCTCCGTCCGTGTGCATAGCGACGTGGCGCCGTGTCTGCAATCGCCAGCTCCCCTCCCCACATCCCCACATCTCCCCACCCCTTCTCGAGGAACTCTAGTGTTCGGGCTCCGGGCTAGGCAGGGCCTGGCAAGACAGGGATGTGGGGCAGCGGCGAGGATGCCAGGAAGAACAAGACGACTACAAAAACCCAATCCATGAATCCCAATTCCTGCTCTGAGTCACTGAGGTGCAACTTCAGATGCTGGCAGGGACCTCGCAACCGTCAGTGTCCAATCTCACCAAGCTGCGGTACCGCTTTATGGCAGCATCCTCAGATGATCACAGATCAACGATAGCCAACTCTTCTCATTTAGGTGGCGACGCCCCTAACGCCCCCTGCGTTTAGGCGACTTTGTTGGGTTTAAGGGAACCTTTCGTAGCTGTAAATAGCAGTGTTGTTGGCATGGTCGCTATATGAATCGGCGTTGTCCCGCTCCCATCCCGAAGAACGAAAAACATAGAAAGAAACAGGAAGAAATACAGGCAGAAAGAAAGAACACGCCACAACTCTGCTCTGCCGCCTGAGTTTTGGCACGTAAATCCTCTGAAAATCAGAATGTCTCAGGGGTTCGTGGTGATGCATCCCGCTAAAAATAATGCGGTTTCCCAGGTTCTTGACAACATGCTCCGAGAAGATATATACACACACGCAAGGCACACCGCAGGCGCCATTGCCTCATTGTTACTGCGTAGCTCTTTAAAGCTGGTCATGTCGGCCTTTGCATTGTTTTGGCTGTCATTGCTGCTCAGTTCGTTCTTTGGGCCGTGCAGAGCTGCGATGCACCTCTGCCCTCGAGATAGTCGCATGCTTGAGTGCTGTCTCCTCTCGTACAGCTTGGGGCAGCCCATGTTGCCTTGCAAAGGCAAGGGCGCTCGCGCCCACAGGCAATCAATCATAATCAACCAATCATTGCTGCTCAGTAGAGTCAGTAGAGGTGCCACAGCCAGCTGAGTCTGGCCGCTGCGCAACCCTGCGACCTACGAAGGTGCGAGAAACGCTGGAGAGTTCGGTGTGGGTCTGGGGAGTTGTGGGATAAGGGATGATTCGGGTCACTGCCGTACCGGCAGTCGCTATTTGTTGTTAGACACTGTGAAAGGGTGCGCTTGTGGGAGGGTCATGCTCAAGGTTACTTGTGGTGAGGCTGTCTAACAGCTAACGGAATCTATCCCCCGTGCATGTGGAGGACCGGCTGGAGCTGTGCTGCAATGCATCCAGCGCAACGACAGGCAGATGCATGCCGTGTAGTTGCATGATGTTGCATGCAAGTGCATTTTCACCAGATACTGCCAGGGGCATTTCTCGACTTCTCCTACCTGCGCCCTCGGGTCTCTTCTACACCGGCAGCCGCTTCCAACTTAGCTAAGCGAGCCATCTGCAAGACGAGGGCACTCTGTGCTACCCATGCCAGACCAGGTTCCTGCCCGGCGCATGGCAGAGCCGGACCGTTACGTGGATCGGCGCTTGCAAAGTCAAGTCAAGGTGCGCACTTCGGCGTTTGACAGCCCGCCCTTCCTCCTTCTCATCCCGGCCTTCCCATCCCTTCCTTCCCATCCCCGCCTTCCCATCCCCTCCTCCTTCCCATCCCGTCCCTGCTTCCTCGCTTGTTCTCCCCGACTCTTCCATGTTGTTGTATAAATGATGATGATGATGATGATGATGACGATGATGGCGAGGATGATCATCGCTGCTCCTGCTAGTGTAAAGGCACCCCGCGCGATGGAACGACGCTGTTCTGGGTTGCTGCATCAAAGTATGGAGACGGGTGTTGCCAGGTTTCCATCGGGTTTCTTCATGTTTCCTTGAATCCGCAAACCCGCAAAAAAGTACCCACAGTCGGCCCCAAGCATACCCAAAGCCAGAGCCCCTCCTTCGGTCCTTCGATTTTGGCTGAAGCTGCGTTGTGCGCAGGGCTTTGTCATTTGCGAAGTTGATCCGTGTAGGCCCCATATGGCTCGCTACGTTTGCATTTTCCATGCTGCCTTTGCCCTTGCCGTGATGCCCTGGGCACAGGGTGCCCGTGTGGATCATGGCCCAGGCCGTGCAGGCCATGCAGGCCGCGCCGGCCTGAGGCCGCCCTTTGTTTGGAAGAGCACCTCGGCCACGCAGCTCCAGCAAGTTTTGCTGCGGCAGCTGACGGCCGAGGAGGCGCCAGAGGTGCAGGGCCCCAAGCTCGGAGTTTCACTGAAGGCGCTAGTCGGAAGAGTCCGCGGGGCCTGGGCAGAGGGAGGCACCTCTGGCTGCTTCCAACAGCTGGGGAGCATGATCGCCAACTTGACTGCAGCCTGCCACGAGCAAAACCCCCAAGACCAGGAGTTTTTTGTCTTCCGATATTACAAGCCGCCCTTGCCAAGGAAGACCTGCCAGGAGAGCGTGGACGACATCTTCGTCCATGGCAGAGCCCTGGCAGCGGCCATGCAAACTTCGAAGGAGGATTTGGCTTCCCTGAAGGTGGACCGAAGAACGGTTGCCATGGTCCATTCGCTGTACTTCCTGCGAGCATGGCTGACTCCGCTGGCCTATACGCAGAGCGATGCCTTGCTCTGGGCTGGCTTTTGGGATGCCGACCCTCGCAATCGCACCACCTCAGAGACATTGCGTAACTTCGCCACTGCCACAGACCACGCGACGGTCCATCCGGATAGCTGGCTGGGGCAGGTCATTGACAGAAGCAATGACCTTTCGGATTGTTACATCGAGGAGATGAGGCAGCTGATGGCAAACATGTGGACCATTGTCAGCGTGAGCTTCGTGCTCGGCATGATGGAAAGGGGGCAGGGCACCGTTGTCGCGCTGGTGAACAAGGGCATGGAGGGCGAGCGGCCGCTTGAACAGGCCGTCCTGTACGAGCACGAGATCCCGACGCTGGGACTGGCTGCCTATGGGCTGGGGTACTGGTCCCCGCAGGTACTTCTCATCGATTTGCAGGGCACCTGCTCACAGACCAGCCCAGCACTCCAGCAGCAGCTTTCCTCTCGCTTGGGCCCTTGGGCGAAGTCCAAGCAAAAGCGGCATTGGCGTTTGGAGGACTTCGTGCAGCGATCGCGACTGCGCTGGCGATGCCTCGACTGCAGCGACCCTGTATGCAATTTGGACATTAGCCTCGCCAAGGAGGTGAAACGGCTGGTTTTGAAGAAGCAGCTGAAGGACCAGAATGGCCAGCGGCTCCTCAGGATCTTGCAGAAGAATAGGAACGACGAGGCTTTGCGCCAGGTGTGCATGGGTCCAAACCAACAAGCCATGAAGGTCTCATGAGGGAGCGTTTTCGAATAGCCCTGACCTTCTAAGGGGTTGTTTGAATCAGAGGTTGCTCGCAGAGTCGAGGGAGGTCTAAGGCCGAGTTGTTCTTCACCCGGAGCCTGGCAGGCACACGAGCTCGAAGAGAAAAGCCAGTTGGCGCAGATGTTGGCACAGAGCCTTTTTGGAATGGGTCGCTCCGAAGAAGCTCGTGCAGTGCAGGCTCAATGGGCAGAATGGCACATCCGATGGCTTAATGTTTACACCCAGGCCGCCTCCCATCTTCACCCGGGACATGGAGCTTCGGTGACTCCCAAGGAGCTGCTCCAAAGGAAGGCCGACGCCAACGCGGCAGATCGCACCGGCCGCACGTGCCTGCACGAGGCTGCCTTCAAGAATGACTGCGAGGTAGCGGCTCTGCTCCTCGAACACGGGGCAGCGGTCAATTCCCGCACTGATGTTGGTGACACGCCGCTTCACCTAGCCGCATATCCGCATTTGATGGGTAACTCAAGAGTGGTGGCGCTGCTCCTCGAGCACAAGGCAGAAGTGAATGCCCACGGCGCCTTTGGAATGACGCCGCTCCACATGGCTGCAAAGGTTGGGGGCAGCTATGGGACGGAAGTGGCGGCGCTGCTCCTCGAGCACAAGGCGGATGTGAATGCCCGCATGTTGCACGGTCTCACGCCGCTCCACAAGGCTGCCAAGTGTGGTTCGGCGGATGTGGCCGCGCTGCTCCTCGACCACCATGCAGAGGTGAATGCCCGAAGTCAATTCGGCGAGACGCCCCTCGCTGAGGCTGCTGAGATAGGTGAGAACTCAGTAAGAGACCTGCTGCTGCGGCATGGCGCGACGGAGTGAGGTTGTTCCCCCCCCCACCCTCCCACCCCCCGCCTAAGAACAACCCACGGGGCACCAAGCAACAGAAAACAAAGGTTGAACAACCACCCCGGCACCACCCTCGGCACCAGGTTTTGTTTCTTGTACGGAGCAGAAACAACAACAACCCCTCTCCAGAACAATCCACGGGGCACCAGGTTTTGTGGGTTCCAAGGTAGAAGAAACAGATGCCAACAGTTGTAGTGATACGGGGGCTCCTAATTTCTTGTCATGGTTGTCATTGTCGTCATTGTCGTGGGGCCTGCCTGCATCCTCTTGGGCAGGAGGCGGCCGTTGTGCAACTTGTGGGCCGCCGCGTGCCCTTCCAAGCAGGCGCGACAGCTTCTTGAAGTCACTGAAGTCCATGGTTTAAGGAGTTTAAGGGTCATGGGACAATGTGGGGTGGGGAACAACATCCCCCAAATCCTGCAGCGTAACCAAGCCGTGAGGCCTTGAGGACCTCCTTGAGGACGTGCAAGTCTGGACGCCCTCGGCCCAAGCAGCTGCATCCCAAGAGGGCTCCGATTTAGGCTTCGTTCTGGGGTCCAAAGGGGTATGGACGACAGCGACTTGCCCTCACAACTTCGGGAGTCCAGTGCATGGTGACGTGGGATGGATGTCGACGCTCATTCTACTACGTTGAGAATTTCGCTCCCTCCAAGCCCGCCATCAAACCATGCCTCATGCATCCAACGTCTAGCATGTCTAAAGCTATCGGTCCGCCGCTTTCTTACTTTACGAGTGCATCCTGGCAACTGAACAAGCAGCAATCACACCAACTTTGCTCATGGCAGAATGGTTCAACCCTGCACTGGTTCTTGAGGTGATGATAGCAGGCACACGCCTTCGGCTGCGGGGAGGAAACGTGAAGGTGGAATCTTGCAGCACATTCCGCCTCCATAGATGTCCAGCTGGAAGAAGACCTGTGCAACTTGTGTAACCGACTTCATAATTAGCGCAGCGCAAGTCAGCGGTTGTTCCTTCTTCCTATGGCTGTGTGCTCCCAGATAGACATGTTCCAGTTCTGACTTGCTGCGCATTGCAGGTGCAGCGTGCCTGCGATAGCCAAGGCCGGAAGCCAGCCATGACCAGCACTTTGATCCATGTCTTCATCTTCCGTGCGACTGTTTATCACGCAGACAACAGCAGTCGGCGCTGTTCTCTCCTTTCAGGCAATGCAGCAGCACGGTTTGTGGTTCAGCAAGGCCGTCTCCTCGAAAGCCCAGATGCAGGCACACAGCTTAACGGGCCTAGCGCCTCTGGCAAGTGTGACCTGCTCGGTTTCAGTGCTTGCACTGCTCTTCGCTTGAATGCTGCCTTAAATCCCAAAAAGCATCCCCCACAAAGCATCCCCCAAAACTCTCCCAAAGCGGACCACAGTGGATGAAAGCTGCAGGCTGGTCTTCACAGGCATGGTGCCGCACAGTCTTCGAGCGCGCGCAGGTGTTGCAAGCCTCCGCCAGGGGCCCCATGAGCTTATTCATAGAATGTCAATGAATATTCTAGGGGTCTGGGGGTTGTGCATCAGGATCCCTTGTGCTAATAAGAAGGTGGAGTCTTCACTAAACCTCCAAGCCTAGGTGGCCAAAGCAGAAACACAGCTTTTCAGTGGCATGTTGCGAACTGTCAACTAATTCATTGCATGAATCCCAATCCTAACCCCATTCTCGAGGTGCCCAGCTGGCAAACCTTCGCAGATGTGCTCCTCCAGGCAGCCGAGGAGGCCTCTCATGTGATCGTGTGACGGAGTTTGGGTTTCGGGTTTGCAGCTTCGACAATGTCTGGTCTTGTGGCTCTTGGATACATCGGTTGCTCACGACTTGCTTAACGCAAGGCGAGGTGTACGGTCTCTGATCAGTGCCATTCGCCCTTCACTTCGCGTGGACATGTCGCGGAGACACGAGGGGCGCCAAGGTAGGAATGATAGGAAACATAGGACAAAAAACTCAGAAAATTCGGCAGCCCACAAGATGGCACAAAGATGGCAGGTGGAGGCAAACCCATCCCTCGTGCCCACCTCCACTACGGTCACTTCAAGCACGACCGGAGCTCAGGTTCCGGTAGAGCCGGTCAAAATGTCTGAGCGCATTTGCGACTATATCATTATGCAAGCAACCTATCTACACATTTTGTACTATAATATAGTTCTTAGAATACATGAGTACTCGGTCAAGGCAGGGAAGATGGGAAGAATATGGAGTACAGCTTTGGATTTTATTTCGTAGCCCTAACTCTGCGGCTTAAACTAAATGGCCTGGTAATGGTATATGCAGATATGCAGTAGAACCAGTACAAGCTGACCTCCCATAAGCCATTACCTTTCTGTACAGGTTTAAGTTGAGGGAACTTATATGGTTGAGCGTAGTGTTGTTGAGCTTGCGTACCTCGTTCAAATGGTTTTATCAAGAAGAAATTTGTTTTAAACGACTAAATGCTAAAACCTTACGGCTTTAGTGGCCGGGCAGATTTCAAGAGAATGAAGGACAGCTACCAGGGCAACGGGCACTACACTTTTTGCTGTTTTTTTTTTTTAGCCAGGGGCCTCCTTTTTTCTCAGCCAGGGGCTACTTGTATTCTGTAACTCGATATCACAGATGGCTTTCGTCATGAACAGAACTTATGCGCTTATACTTTTTACTAGTTCAGCCTCGCCTTCCTTGATTTGGAATCGTAAGCCTGCGGCCCTAAGATATACAACTAAATAGTAAGATGACAAAGTTCTTCTGGTTAAGTTACCTATGTGAGAACTATTGAGGCTAAAGGCCCATGCGTTATAAGTCAATGAATGGCATTGGCCCTCTAGATGCGATACACTCGTGCCACATATGCCGTATTCACGTAAAACGTTTGACAACTTCATCATCTCGTTTGCACACCGTTCTCAAACAAACTACGCTTCGTCATAGCACCTCTAGAAAAACAGGCATAGACAGGCAGAGAACAGAGGGGTACGTCGCATGTAGACAGGAAAAAGGTATATGCGTATAGTATGGCTCCGACACAAAAATCAAAAATGTATGTCCTTGGGGGGGGAGCTTATACAGGGTAGTGGGATTATTATAGGAGTCGCTGCTGTTATCCCGTATGTGTAGCCCGAGATCCGAGGAGTGGCTGGGATTCGGGAACTTTGAGTTTGAGAAGTAATTCGGAACTTGCCAAGGACACTGTCCAGTACGTCATCCACAGCAACCGCAACCACATCCTCATCCACAGCCACGGAAGCGAGCAACACCAGCGTGACCACCACCAGCAGCCCCTCGGACATGCTTGAATTCACCCCAAATGCCACCAGATATCCCCCGAGAGGACAGTGTGTAGGCTCAGGGCAGTCACTGAATCACAGTAGTGCTCAGTACTTGTTGCATCATGTGCCACACCCCAGGCTGCTATTGTGTGGGTCCGACTTTACTGGGGCTTCCAAAAACTGAGGCACTAGCACCCTTTCCTCCACGGCATCTCATACATCATCAACTAGCACTTGGGCCGCAAAGCAGCTGCATTTCGTTTTTGTTCTTGGCACTATGCGGCTATGCTTCAGGCACCATGACTTGGACATCGACCATAAGCCTTACCACAACAACAAGTCTTTCATTGAGTACGACAAGTACCACGGACTCCACCACAACTCAGGCCTTGTTGCCGTTATTTGAAGTGGGCTTGGAATGAATATGCCGCCCCCAAGGTAGACTTGTTGAGTTGCTGGTTTCTTTGCTACGGTCGGTTCATGAAGTACCTTAACTGTGGCTGCCCGATCAGAACATCACCACATCGTCTACGACCTCCGCAACTACAACAGGGCAGCCTTGGTGTTTGGGAGGAGACCAGGCTCAGACGGACACATGGTGCCCCAGCGCCGTCACTTCAGAGACTGAACTGCCCGTGTATGCGGACGTTGAGCTTGCGGATGACAAGGGCATCTTGCTGTTCGGCGTGTTTGCCGTGCAATTGTCCATGCACGGCAGTTCTGCTCTTACGCTGGGGCTGCCTCCTGCCGGGCAGCTGACCCTTCTGGGTTCCGAGTTGCTTGGACTGCAGAATGGAACTTGGGGTGGATTGAGACTGCACTTTCCGACAATAAAAACCTAGAGCCTTAAAGTGCTGCGATTTCCGCAGTCCCTGTAAGCTAAAAAGTGCTCACACATGCTGGCAGATGCCCTGATCAGGCGCAGCCTGGTGTTCATCCAGGCCATGACCTTGATCTATGCGACCTGGATCGACTCTTGGGTGGAGGCCCACGCACTCTCCAACGCCAGCCACGTCCTTCGACCCTGGGCACCGGAGCCATCATCGCTTACCACCACCAGCACTACCTACACACGCACCAGCTCCACCGCAACCACAAGCACCACCAGCCGGCCAGCACTACCTTACCCCCAGCCACAGGCCTCTTTTGGCGTCGTCCTGGGAGCCCTGGAGAACGTGTTCTCCGATCCGCTGGAGCTGCTGACCCGGGCTCTAGCTCTGGACTTGGAGAACAATGGCAAGCCCCAAACGCTGGAGAGTGTGGTTCCGACGTCCTTGGCGACCCGTGGGCTGACAACCTCCTCGCTACTGCACAGCTGGTGCGAGGCGGGGCTGGGAATACGTTATATATGCCTACGTAAAATATCATTTCTAGACTTCCAAAGAACCCATTCTCCACATACAAACAACTTTAATATAAAATACGTGTAACTATTGCATGATATGCATAATACAAAAGCCTTCAACCTCGGTGCTCTTGGGTTCACATATGCGGTGCTCTCTGCGCTCAACAAAAAACCGTCTTTGGCACGGTCCTTTGTTGAGTCAGTGCATCGCTTGCGCACTGATCAAGGTCCCGGCGCTGGCACCCACGCAGAGCTTGGGTGACATCCTGGCGGCTCTCGCGCCCGCGGTGGCAAACCTGCAAGATGCCACTGGCCTCAGACCGCTTGACACGGTGCTGAAGGCCTTAGAGGAGGGCCTGCCCTCCGAGTGGGATGCCAGCTACTGGAGCAGTGCACCCGGAGGACCCGGGTGGGAGCCACCGCTGCCAACTAGCACCTCCACGACTTGGACCAGAACGACCACCGTCGACTTGTCGGCTCTTCTGTGCCACCCGCCTTCCCATACGCCTCGTGTATTTTGGGGAATTGCGTGTCCTTTTTTTGTTCTGACAAGTGCTTTCAACGCTAGCGCTGTGGGCTCAGGCACCAGAAACAGAAACCTTTCTTGCTGCAGAACGGTCGTGCGAGCACTTGGAAACGAAACGTATCCTAGCCAAGGGTGCGACACGGACAAAGGGCTATAGCATTCGGCTTTCGGCTGGCCCTATAGTTGTACTATTCGCGTTCCCTTTTCAATTCGCAGAGCGGGTATTTGGTAGCTGTTCTTGACATCGTCGTTGAAACTTCCGCCTCTTTTCTTCTGCGTGTGCATGTCATTACTGCAGGTGTTGCTGATGAAGATGGTCCTTAGCCCCAAACACCCCCACATGCCCCAAACGCCTCAGGCCCCCCCAAACGCCCCAAACCCGAAACTCTCCGAAACGCTCAGTATCCCTCACGTTTCGTCAAGATGATCAGAGCGAGGGGTCTTGCAGGTCCAGACGTGGATTGTCTTCCTCCTGGCGACTGTGGAAGCGTGGCTTCATTATGCTCGGTTCCTTCGATTTCACGTTCCGTGGTCTCGGGCTTGGGGCACTTTCGTAGTCGTCCAGGACTTAGCGTAGAGTCATAAAGACAGCTAAGCAGTACTGGGTGTAGTCGTCAAAGCCCAAGTCCAGGTCAATGTAGCCCTCGTTCTGGGCATCACCACATGTGTCTGATTACAAACTTCCCTGGTTTTTTCAGGCATGGATCCCTTCGTGGACCTGGAATGCGTGGCTTGGTCGGCGCCCCTGCGGCGATTTGTGCCAGCCCTTGGCTGCGAGCTGGTGGCCCAGCCAGGCCGGAACTGAGTGGTTTTGTCAAAGGGTTGTCAAAGTTTGAGAGCACTTCGGGAAAACTTGATCAGAATACTGTTCACGGCGCTTGGTCATTCGGCCGAAGATGGTCGTTGCCTTCGAGAGGAGGGTGAGAAAACGTTCTGCGCAAGCAAGGCTAGGTTCAAGAAAGCTGATGGTTTCTCGAATGTTGCTGTCACCGTAGTTTGTGCTGCTGCTGCCTCCTTGCCCACACAGAAAGCCTAGAACTCCCAGTAGCACAGAGGAGCACACTTCGATCATTCGGACGCTCATATGCTGAACCAGATCAGCTGACTATGTTCCGCTCTTGCTGCTCCGGTGGGCGGGGGGGGAGGGGAACGGCCAACCTTCCTTGTCTTCCTTGCTTGCATATTTGCCCAATTTGCATCGACATCCGCCATCCATCAAAGCACGTTCTTTTATCTCCTTTGGTTGCACACGTCACCATTGGAGTCATCCGCCATTCAGCCTTTTCACCTTCGTAACGCACTCTGGACTGCCTTGGATCTGAGCATGCTGTGTGCACCAGAAGAAGAGGGTAGTAAGGGTTCACGGTATAGCTTCATGCTTAAATTTGAAGCTTACACGGCACAGCGCAATGCTGTTTGCATGTCGTGCACGCAGACATGCGAAGGCCGTCAGTGGCCCATTCTCCAGGAGGGCAGCATGGAGGTTGTTTGCGAAGCATGGCTGCACTGTCTGACCTCAACCCCAACATAGCCAGGAATTCTGCAGTGTGTTACAGTCATAAGGGGTCCCACTCCTTTTTTGTTGGGGTGGAGTGGGGCCTCAGGGGAAAGGGATCAAGGCCAAGAAGGAGGAGGATGGGGCAAGCATGGCTCTTGAGAGCGACTTACCCGAATTCCCCTACATGGCATGGTCTTGTAGCCAGCGACTCGATGGTGTTGGTACCAGCGACGGGCGACAACTAGCAGTGTGTAACGTAATCGTCATACCGTTACTGACTTTGCAGACTTGCTGCCATTGTCGCACCATGTGGGGCTCTACGAAAATAAGGGGCTCCTAATGTAGACCCCAAAAAGTAGGATTCCCTTTGTACAAAGGACGCCAATAAGGTACCCCCAAGTTCGGAAAGCCCCTTGTGATTTCTCGGTCATTTGAAACGGTGTTCCATCGAGGAATGTGAACCCTGGGCTTGGCATCCTGCGATGGCTGTGGCTTCCAAGCTGCCACTCTCGACTGCACTTGGGAGACCATGGAGAATAGGTGTGCAGTTGGGATGCTCCCCCTAATACTAACAGTCCTTTACGGGGAATATCATCGGGGGTCCTATAATCCCGATTAAGGACGGTCAGTATAAAGGGGGAACATCCCACGCGTGCAGGATGGTTAGGCAACTTTGGTCGCTTTAGTCTTTGAATGGTGCCCTGCGCAGATTGTGCTGTGCCGCTGTGTTGTCCGCATTTGCCCCTGAATGCAATATAAAGACGGAGCGATACGCCATTTGCAAATTCTCAAGCACATTCCCAGTTTCGGCAGGGCTGTGTTTCAAGGATTAATTACGTGTAAGATGCGCAAGGGAAGAGTCTAAAGCCCTAAAGTGCTTGAAGCTCCTGAAGCCCTCTCAACCTCTGGGCTGCGGTGCACCAAAGGCCCGCCTTGACACCGTTCCCGCCGCAAGTGCACATCCAGACGCGGGAGGTTGCGGTCTTCTGGCTCGACAAGGCGCGAGCACATACTCGGGGAGAACACCTTGGGGAGAGCACCTTTGGGAGCCTGGCATGTATTTGAGTCGCGGTTCAAGGCGGTTCAGCATGCGGAGATCTTCCACATGCTTTTTTGCAGTTGGGAGCAGGTTTTGGTGCCGGGTCTCCAAGTGGAGGGAGGGAGAGCAGAAGAGCTCTGAAAGGCCCACAGCTACAACTTGCGCGGCCTCTTTTTGCCACCAGCACTGCTGCTGCTGGCAGTACTTCACCTTTCTGTGGCCGTGTATGCCGAGGTGGGTGGGCAGTACGAGTAAATGCTCGTACTGGCGTACTCCTGAGAGGAACAGAAAGTAATCGTCCAAGGTCGCGATTGATTCGTGTGTTTGTTCGACCGTTTCTTCGATCACATGTTTTGCTGAGCAAGTATCCCTCTCCCTCTCTCGACCTCTTGCTCTTTCTGGCTGGGCTTAGTCGGGCTCACCCCGCATCTCCTGCGTGTCGTTCAATAGCAAAGTGCTACGGCTCAATGTTGGATAAGCTCACAAAGCGTCCAGAACCCATGCTCTCAGATACGCTGGCGCTCCCAAGCGCGGTGGGTGGCGATGCGCACCGCGCGCGCCAAAGGCGTCCAGGTGGAGGTGCAACAGCTGGAGACCGAAGAGAAGGCACCGTCACATATCAAGCGGTTGAATCAACAAGCGGCCCTTCTGGCTGAAGTTTCGTGTTGAAACATCCCCGCCTGCCAGAGTTTCAGAACACAGGATCCCCAAAGTACGATCCCCCAAGTGCTCCCGCGCCAACTCGGAGCTGAAGATCCAGGGTTTGATGAATACCTTTTCGAGCAATTGTCAGCATCTTCATGTCACTGCAAACATGTGCCAAGGCGCGAGTATCGGTATCTCATTTTTGTCCGGGGCATGTTTTGCGAAGGACTTCATCCGCCGGCGCGCTGCGGAGATCAGAGCCACAGGCGCAAAGAAGCTTCGCATCATGTTGAGCAGAGGGGGTTTGTCGCTGCCAAGACTCAAAAAGAAGCCGACGACTCGACAGGCGAATTCAGCGCCGCCATCTGCGCTGCGGAGGCGCAGGAGATCGTGCGCAGGGCCGAAGGCCTGCTGGTCACGGCTCTCGGGGGCTCACAGGGGCAATCTGTGCCAATTTGGGGCTTGCAGCTGCGATGATGGCTGCGTCCGCATTGTTCCAGTAGCTGCAGCGCAGGCCTGCCACATGCATCGACGTCAGCAGCGGCGCAGCTCGACATCCGGCAGGCGAGGGGATCTCGTCAACTTGACAGCTGCAGGGTAAGCATGACAGGTGCCAAAAGCGTCTCATGCGCATTCTGCAAGGCCAAAGACGGCCTGGCGACACTCTTCCAGGCACATGGCCTGGGTGATGTTGAAGAAGACGAGGTTCGGCCGCCGCCGCCTCTGGCACTGATGGGCCCAGGCAACCCAGCGGGACACGAAGCTCCATAGGAAAGCCAACCAAAACCCCACAAAAGCCCCTGAGCAACGCTCCCTAAACCCTAAAGCCTAAACCTTAAACTCTAAACCCTTCTGGACATCTCGCAAGCTAGGTGGCCTCCAGCCGCCGGTGGGTTCCACGCTGGTCACCTCGTCGTTGTCCAAAGCCACCCCATCACTGCTGACGCCAAGCGCTCGGATGCCGAGCAGTGTTACAGGCCCGGGGCACCTCAAAGGAGGGAGCGGCACGTGGAAATGTTGTGGACTCTTGCTCTCAGCTTTTGCGCGCAGGATCGCCCGTGCAAGGGCTGTCGTTGCGCAGTGCAGCTCAGGAGGCCGACTGTTCTGAGCCTTCTGAGAGTCTTCTGAATCGCTCAAACGCGTGTTGCTCCCAAGCCCTAGGGCCACTGTCAATCCTAGGCCCTAAGCCCTAAGCGCTGTGTTTCAGGTGGGGTTCCGCCCAGAGGAGGCGATGATCTCCACAAAACCGCCGACAAAGCCGAGGTGCCCGATATCTGCGCTGGAAAATATTGGTACGCGTTGCGTCTGTTTTGTGTACGAATATGATGAGTACCACGATGGCTGTTGCATGGCATGTCGTAGCTGCCTTCGTGAGCTTCCCGAAAAGGCGAGGGCTGCGCGCAATACTCCTCGATGCGGTGAGGAGGTGCAGGCGAAAGCACATCTGGCGAGCCTGCCTCACGCATCACAAGCCTCTGGGCAAGATTTCGAGCAGCCTTGTCATTGTATTGTTCCGCGCCCAGCTCGTAGTACAATCAGAGAAGAAGAGTAACGTTGCATATAGTTGGGGAGGGCGAGTTTTTTTTTATGGATTAGCATTCAACACACCATGCGTTGCCCAAAGTGGGCAGTATAGAATTGGTGGCAATGCCCTGGGAGCAGGATCTTCTTTCTTTCCAGCGACTCGCAGACCTTCATCTTCAGTGCGCCTGAGCGTGCTGCGATGCTGCATGCGAGCCTTTGGATCAATGCCATCTGGTTATCTGTGGTGCTGGGCGCCTAAGCACGCAAATGACTGACTCTCAGGGCCTCAGGGCTTCTCGGGGTCGTGTTCTGCACTGCAATGGGGGTTTCCGAATGTAGGGGTGCCTTATTGGGGCCCCTTCTTTTCAGGAAATCTTACCATTCGGCCGTCCATATTCGGGCTCCCCTATCTTCGTTAAGCCCCCAAATTCGCCAAGCAGAGCAGGTGGTTTCGAGCACCGCCGACCGTTCCAGGATGAGCATTGTCCTGGGGCCGGCCAGGAGCCGCTAGGCATCCGCAATTAAGAGCATTTCGTGTGCCCAAAGCTGCCCAAAGCTCCAAACTGGATCTACTCACCCATGCTCAACACGTGGTTCGTTATGATCATGAATGTATCACTGGCCGCCCTCCCCGAAAACAAGCTCAGGTTTCGAGTTGCAGAGCCTGGGTGTCTGTTCGATTCCACCTCTGTGGGCCATGCCGTGCTGGCAGCAGCGCTCACGCCTCCACTGGCTGGCATCTTGCAGACTGTTTGCCGAGGGCGGAGTTTCGTCGTGCGAGCAAAGGAGCAATGCAGCTTTGCATGTTGCGCGATGCGGCAGCACAGATACGTAAGCACATGGGAGGCCCATGCCATTTACCTGCTATCGCAGGACCTCAGCATTGAAGATCGCGATCGGGCCTTCACCCGCCACTTTTTGGGCCCGTGGCCCTCCGTCCTCATGGCGCCCGCGGAAGCGAAGGCCGGAAAAATTGCTCAAAGAAGAGGTTGAAAATGTTGAAACTGAGCTGAGTGACGAGAACTGCTGCAAAGGTGCGGGTCTGGAACATCTTCTGCAATGTCTCTCGATTCTGCTGCCCTCGGTGTCCACGGCCGCGGCGGCGGAAGCTGCTGCCTCTGCACTGGTGGCCTTCCCTGGTGCTGCCATTCCTGGTGCCGGACTGCACATCAGTACGAGAAAAACAACAAAGGTACATGTGTATATTTCAATATATGTTGTGCACGAAAAGTTTTAGCACAACAACGCATCAACAGAAATGTAGATATGCATGTAAATCTACAATATAGATATGAAAAGAAGTATAAGGGTATATCTAAAAATGGAATACATGTTTCATGTCTGTTTTGAATATGAAAGTTAGTATTCGTTCTACTCCTCCCAGGAGTTCCAACTACCGGTACTGGTTCTTAGGAATTAGTTACGAGGATGCCCCTCCCCAGCCCCTAAACCCTGAAGGCCCTAAAGTCCTAAATCCCAAACCTTCATTAAACCCAAAAACCCAAAACCCCACCATGGGAGTGGCGGGGTTGGGGGGGTGGGGGGTTGGGGTACGTGTGTGTATGTATATATATGTATATCTACAGGGGGATTTAAGATACCTACTTCCCCCATTCCCATGAAGAAGAAGACGTAGGGTTATCAACAGCTGGCAAGTGCATCGCTCTTCAACACTTCCGAGGTGCTCCTTCTCGGCTTTTTAGCCTGGAGACTATGCTTCTACATGTTCCACTTCTCCGCCTCGATCTACATGCAGCCCCCGATCATCAGCAAACCCTTTTTTGTTCGCTTTACATTCGGTTTCTAAGCACCGTTGTAGAGGGTGCTGGTTTCATACATCCTATCGGCTGGCGAAGGTGGGAAGTTACACGGTCCGATCAGCCGGGTGCGATCCAGATGGAGCTGCCGCCATATGAGCAGGCCGAGGCTTCTGCAGCCATTGCCGATGAAAGCTGGCAGGCACGCTTGGTCCTGGTGCCGCTTGGCTGGTTTGGTTGCATGTTGCGCCGTTTCCACGCGTTTATTCAGTGGTTGCATAGGCCTCCCTTCCCCCAGATTTGAGAGAGCTGGACTATTAGGGTGGCGAGTTTACTATTTTTGGGCTTCGTGTCAATATTCTTCCAGCGTAGACCCTAAACAGTGAGAGACCATAGCGACGCGAAAGAGCACCCCAATGGTTTAAGAGCATGCCCAACAGACACCGAGAGCGCAGAAGTCCAAAAGTCACGACCTTTAAAGCGACGACAGCTTCGCATTTGGCGAACACAGACATCCAACAGCGACGACAGTTTCGCATTTGGCGAACACAGGCGTCAAGAAGCAAGGGCAGTTTCGAGGACGGCGCGCGCGGCCACGCCCGCTCCCAGGCGAGAGCGTGATTTTGGCCCCAAATGCGAGCAGGCTTCGAGAACGGCTTATCCGGCAGGTCTTGGTCACGGGCGGCGGGCGTGCCCGCTGTTTACCCTACCGTTGGGACCGCAAAGACCCCATGTTGAGGGTAATTACATGAAAAAGTTGAAAGGAGATAGAAGCACGAGCCAGCCTAGAAGGATCCAAAAGGATACGAAGAGCTGCTTGGATGGGAGTTGCGGTGCAAACATGTGCGATGCAGTGACATTCGACCAGGGGAAGTTTGTGGGAAGGTCATTTAGTTCCAATTGGCGAATGTAAGCCTTGATGTTGGCTAGGGTGCGTGGTGGTGAGTTCGTGCTTGTGCCCAGGTTTGTGTGTGTGTGTGTGTGTGTGTGGGCATGCGGCATGTGTTTCGCCAGTGTGTCGCCAGCGTCTTTGCTTTACAAGCCTTCTTATCGGTTAAAACAAGGATAAAAAATTGTCGTAGTCACTACCCCCTGCCATTTTGCTTGAGCATGTGGCAAGCGAAGGACGATAAGCTATGAGTTACAATGGTTGCAACGCCGTTACAACCTTTCCTACAGTGGGTAGTGTGTACCCTCCCCAACTGCTTTCAGACTATACAAATGTATGTGAATGTGCATGTGCATGTGCATGTGTATGCGTGTGTGTATGTATGTGTGTGTATATATATATATATAAATCGCACATGTACAAGCGCATCTTATCGTGGAGCTGCCTAAATTTACTTCTCCTATCGTTCTGTATACCGTGCTGTAAACAGAAAGGTGATGCACCCTCAGAACATCATTAAACCATGAAGATTTGTAAGTGCACCAGGCCGCCAGGACGTCACGCCATGTTAAGCCCTGTACCCCTCCCCCCCCTTCCCCCCCACGCCTCTCCACCCCCCCCCTCCCCCTCCCCCTGGCAGATGATCAGGCCTGAGATGCAGCGCTACATAGTCCTCCTGCTGATCAGCTGGGTCTTGAACTTGATGCTGTTCGAGCCGCTACTGCTCATCCTTCATCTTTTCGTGGGAGAGCCCTCAGTCGATGAAGCTTGGGCATATTAGCAGCTTCAGAGAAAATTCACCGACGAATGCTAGAATCACGACCCGATTTGCCACTGTTGCGCGCTTAGGAATTCTTGCGGCCTTTCCTTCCCATTCTGCTGCTGGTGCCTCGAGCAATCAGTTTCTGTTGCGGCCGCTCGGCACATGAACCTTTGCTTGATTCGGGGCAGGCTGAGAGTTCGCGAATTTTCTGTATGAGAAGTGTGCATTTCGTGAGAGCTCTCGTGCAGGTGTCATTAGCTCATGTCTTGATTGGCTGGTCTCGCGCTTGCGGCCTTTGTGGCCGGAGAAGTTCGTCGAGAAGGTCCCGCCAAAGTGCCTGAAGAATGGTTCCTGAATCCTGCACGTCCGCATGCTTCTACCATGGCAGGTGAAGGGCGCTTGTCCCTGTCGAATCTACAAGTGCGGCTGCTGTGGGCGCCGCTGCCGAATCTGCAGTTGCTGCTCGAGAACCGAGGTAGTGCCTTGGCTCCTTGCGTGGCTTCAGAAGCCGTGGCACCCCGTCTGCCCTGGCGTCTCTCGCCTCAGGAGCCTGTGGCACCGCCCGACCTGACAGAAACGATTGAGTCCGAGGATGAACAAGAGGCAGCGGCGGGAGCCACGGGGCTTTGGAGGGCCTTGGAGGGCTCGGCTCTGGATTAGATTGCAATGAGTGCATGCCAGGCACAGAAGAAGGGCAACAAGGACAAGAAAGAGAAGGCGGAGAAGAAGGAGAAAGCCGAGCGGAAAACGAAGGAACGCAAGGACTCCAAGACACGGCGCATGTCAGTCGAGCATGGAGCCGCTTCTAGAGCCAGCATAGGCGTGCTGGGGCATCTTCGATGTGTCCCAAACATGGAGAAGTTTCCACAACTGCCAATTGGCAGATGCCTAGCCTGATCGTCATTCTCTGATCTCTCCTAAACCCGGAGCAGTTCCTCAGTGTTCATCTCACAGCTGCCTTGCGATCTGTCTGTGCTTGCCCAGGACCGGAAGGAGAAGAGGTAGCATAGGTAGGATCTGGCAGTCCCGAAATCGAGGTGTATTGGACGTAGAATCTTAGCGGCTTAGCTTTGTTCAAAATTCATGGCAGTTCCCCACTTGCAACCGGGAATCCAAAAAGGCAGACTAAGTAGAACAAGGTCGGTCTCGGGAGTCCCCGAGTCTCACAACACGTCTCACGTGGGGCTCACAGGCCAAGCCTTGCCCCCGTTAATGAGCCGGCCCAGGCCAACGGCCTTGTGCCTTCAATTCACAAGCCCACCGGGCCCAACGGGCACGGGAGATTTCGAGAATTCAGCCAGCAAAATCAGGCTTGCACGAAGCATATTGCAGGTGCAGGCCATTGCAGGTGTAGCGTCAAGTGAAGCATCGCCTCGCCGAGCTCAGTGCCCCATGAGCTTCCGCGCGTTTCCGGGCTTGTAGCTGGGCAGAGCGCAGGTTTTCAGAATGAAAGTTCGAATCGGCTATTGCGTTTCTTATCAGCCTCCTATCCGTAATCTTATGAGTCCTACGCCCTTTATCATCATCTCTGAGTGGTGACTCCACCGGCACATCTCGAGCTGCACTTTAGCCTTGAGAGCAAGGGCAGCTTGGTCTGCAAAGGAGGGGATGAGGCTAAGCATAGCGGCGTGCTCCTTAAGTGAACCCTGCGAGTGCTCCTCCTTGCTCCACAGAGCTTTTGCAAGCAACAAAAAACTTGTTTCGCCCCTCAGCTTTGTAGTGCCTTACGTATACGTGCAGTCAAGATGAGGTCTGGTAGTGAAGATTGGGTCGGAGCTGTTGTATCACTCTTTTCCAGGTGCGAGCTTTGGTCAACTTGGGTGCTTTGCTATGAACGGATTCGTTCTGCTTCTGCTTGCAGTAACAACAATAGTTACTGTACCTGCAGCAACACAGCGCATGTCGCAGAGTCTGAAGCGGCTGAGGTTCACGCGGCATGGATGACCCGCGCCTGAAATGGAGCAGGGGGTTGAGGCCGTGGTTCATGATGCTGCTGCAATGCTGCTACTTGTAGGGCATCCAGTGGCTGCGCTGCCGCACCGAGCACTAAAAGCATCCGGAGGCTTCCGCGCTCGCAGAGCTGCGGAGTCGTGACGCGCAAGGGGCCAAGCTTGAGTAAAGTGAGTACTGTTTTCGGATGCTCAGCTTACGGAGAAAGTTTGAGAATTCGACATCCGTCTTAGAGTTGATGTAGGGCGGTTCTACTCCAGACTTCCATGCAGGTGATTGGGCTTAAGTGGCGGCTTTGGATATCCTGTCGAATCCTGTCGATTACAGTATCCGTACAGCCCTGGGTCCAGCATGTTTGTAGAGTTGCGACGCATAGGCTGCTGCGTCAAAGGCGTGTAGTTGTGTGATGCAGCAAAAGGGATGCAAAGGATGAGAGCGATTCAAGGACGACTAAGGTCCCAAGCCTGAACCCAAGCTGAACAGCCTTTGGGACTTGGACAAAAGCGAGTTAAGCCGCGAATGACAATGAGGTGCGTGTCATGAGTTTGCTTACTCCAACAAACCCGAGCACAACTAGTCTGGAACACGCCATGCAACCACCGAAAACCCAAGAACCCACGTCCCAGACTTGCCGAAAACTCGCGGCAAGCGGCCCGACCATGGCATCTGGCCGGTGGGTGCACCAGGTTCGTGTTGAGCAATTGAGATGATTAAGCCAATGAAGCAGCCAGCTGCTGTGATGCGAGAGCAGAGAGTAGGATCCTTGGGGGGCGAAGAGGGCCCCCCCGTTTTCTCCATTTTTTTTGGTTTGGGTTTTGTCTTGGGTTTTCCCCCCCCGACGGAGCGGATCGAATCACCAGGTCCACTGTGGCAGCCGCAGACTGCTGAGCAGCGAGCTTGGCGAGCCATGACTGGCTCCGCGGCCGGGGCACCCATGCGATCGATGCCATGTTCAGGAGATCGATGGCCCAGAGTCGCTACACCCCCCAAGAGCAATCCTCAGGCACCCGCGTCCAGGTCTCTGCTATAAACTTACCAAGTCGTCGATGTGGGTGAGGTCCGGGCTGCCGCATCCGTGCAGCTGACCCGAAAAGGCGGTCTCCACACAACGTCTGGAAAACGGGGGGCAGTTTCAGCAAGCCCAGCAGTGAGTTTCCTTTCGAAGGTGCGGCGAAGAGCCAGGTGCACGAGACCCCGGGCATCGAGGCTTCGAGGGCCTGATTCGGTGCTCCGTGCATCTCCGCACCATGGGTTTGGGTTTAGGGTTTAGGGAGTTTAGGGAGTTTAGGGAGTTTAGGGTTTAGGGTTTAGGGTTTAGGGTTTAGGGTTTAGGGTTTAGGGTTTAGGGCAAAGTTTCGTAGTTAGCTGCTGGCCAGGCTTGGGACAGCGTCTCGCAAGCGCCCAGTGTTCCCGGTACTCCATACACGAGGCCCGATTCACCTCTGCCTCCAGCCTGGGATGCCTACATACAACTCACACCGAGCTGAAATCACAACAAATGAGGTGAGTGCGCGTCTTGCAATCTGGCCAAGATAGGTTTATAATTTATACACATGGGCCTGGAGTTTAATATGATGTCATATTCTGTTGCGCCGCGATACGCGATACCAATATTGCAGTATGCTGTAATATTAAATAGAAATGTAAGTGTGTGTGTATATATATACACATACTGTATCACACATGCGCGTATATACTTGTTATTTGCACTGTATCATTTACGATATCTCTCTCTCTCTCTCTATATATATATATATTATGGACATTATATGGGACCCTCGGGGCAGGGACGTGCATGTGTGCCAGGTCTTCTGGCGCTCCCACCGAGGCAGGGTGTGTGAGTTGACGAGGCTGCAACACCGTATGCCATCTCATGTCTTGAAGGCATTGAGCGCGGAAAGCTGCGACTCCAGCAATGTCCGCTTCTGAGTGTGGGAGCTGTTCCGGCATGTTGTAGAAATTGTTGTATAACGTGTTGTGCTTGTAAATGCTGGTGCGCGCACGGGCAGACGGGCCTGCAGATACTGAAATCGAAGAGAGAGTCCACCGGAGTGCGGTCAACCCGTAAACCCCCAAGCCTTGAACCACCACATGGCATAGACGCTTGCTGGAGGAGCCCTCTGAAACTGAAGCATCCTGAAGCCTTGTTTGCCTTGATGAAATGCTTGCAGTATCAGCAGGCTGTACAAAACCTTCGGTGCATTGCTGTCGTGCTCGTGAGCTTCTTGCCGTTGACCTAAGTGAATCTTGGGGGTAGGGTGTTGGGGCGCTGTCAAGTCCAGAAGCAGCAGCGAGAGGCTCACCTAGCGGCTGGGTGGGTGGGTGTCAGGGGGACCCAAAATGTCCTAGTAGGCGTTCTTGTTGCCCTCTTTGGGGGAGGTCCCCCTCCTCCTCCCCCCCCCCCCCGCACCACAGAATCGCCCAAACGACTTTGCGGTGAAGGAGACCAGTTCTTGGTCTGTTTGTTCCAGATGCTTCTCGATTGTTCTCGATTGGGACGAGGCGAATATTATTCCCACCACTTGTATTGTTGTTAGTCTTGTTTTTACCACAATATGTTATTCTATCACCATTGTCACTTTCTACTACTGTACTACTGTTTTACTGCTATGCTTTTGTGGCAGTTCTCTTCTTCCATGTTCCAAGGCCAGGGAGCATCGGCAGCTCAATCGCATCATCCGCGAGCGTTTCACCAGGCCTCTGCTGTTTTTTTTTTCATTCCGAGTTTTCGACAGGTGGGGAGGGGGGGTGGGGGGCGGGGGGCGAAGGGGGGGGGGGGGGGGGGGGGGGCGGGGGGCGAAGGGGGGGGGGGGTGGGGGGCAGGGGGGAGATCAAAGGATACCAAAACCAAGAACGTGGTTCTTACAACTGAGGAGACCTGAGAACGCGGATAGCGCAAACAGTGCCTTGCATGTTGGTGGATATTGCAACTGGAGGCCATTCTGAGATATTCTGGGTCATGCGAATTCACATATGAAAGCCATCAATGTTGCGGAAACGAAGTACATTTCTGAATGCACGCTCCTGGTGTAGGGAATTCTGCGGCCCACAACACATAGAAGTCATGAGAAAACCACGAAATCACTTGGCACCCACATGTAGCATCAATGAGCGTTGCAGAACGGAATAAATTAGTTTTTACAAGCTCCTGATGAAAGGACTTCTGTGGCCCGCAACACGTAAAAATCAGGCGAAAACCATGCGAAACCACATATGACAACAATCAATGTTGCAGAAACGAAGTACTTTTATTTATACAAGCTCCTGGTGTCGGGAGTGCTGTGGCCCACAGCACATAGAAGTCATGAGTAAACCACAAAATCCCTGGGCAATCACATGCAAAATCAATGAAACGCGAAGCCTCTTGTGGCAACGAGCGCTCTCTGCAAAATCCGCAGCTGTGCATTCGTCTCTAGGGCATTTTGTTACTCAATCTCTAAGGTTTGGCCTGACAATGCTGATAGGGCTTAGACAAACGAGGGAGGACGGGGTTGATGCACCTAACTGCCCGAAAACCCAATGTCCTAAACCCTAAACCCTAAACCCTAAACCCTAAACCCTAAACCTTCAAATCCTGAAACACTAGCCCTCCTGCACTCTATACCTGTCTCTGGTTGAATACCTTTTTGGCTCTGGGTTCCTACTATAGCTACTTATACCTAAAAGTACGTGCCTTTTTTCCAGGGTCTACTCCAAAACAGGTATGCAAAACTACTACCGCCCCCTCCCCCAATCAGATGAGAGATATCACAACTGAAGATGTTTTCAAAGTTGCTTGGTGTTCTGTTAGGACCGCAACTCTGGTTTGGAATGTTGGTAACTTGTAACCTTAATAAGCGGTTGTGATATCAAGGTTTCTGGTTTGCTTTTCAAGCCAACAGCAATTGTGACATCCCGGTTCTTGGTTGTAAGAACCCCCGTTTTGGTTGTAGTATCCCGTACTCGCGGTGGGGGCATGTTCCGAAATGTCACAACCTGAGATGCAGGAATCGAGAAGGCTGGCATGATTGGCACGTCGGGCGGGTGATTGGCTGATGGACTTTTGCAGGGCTTTGCAGTGAAGTTTCACCGAATGCATGCCATGCGCAGGCCGCAGGCACAGTAGGATGCGTTTCACCTTGTGTCGAGACGTGAGCTTGGCATGAGAAACTTCACCTGCATTGTGTACCTCTAACTAACTCCTGGCAGGATGCAGGCACGGAACCCCAAATGGCACCAGGACTGGAGAAGGCCCCCACACAAGAGAGGCGGAAGTCTTTGCCGCAGCTTGTCGTCCAAAGTACATGCCCGCAAAGTGCATGGCATGCTGGAGTCAGGTTATGGGGAGGAAGCTTAGATGAAATGAGCAATGAAGATGCTTGAATACAACCTGCTGGCATCACAGACATGGGGCAGGCAAAGCATGACCACAGCACCAGCCCACGCAGCATCACCTACCCAATCATTGCATTTCTGCAAAGCACGGCCGCCGCTCAGCAATTGTTTGTATCGCCTGCAGCGGGCCAGGCTCGGAAGTCTCTGACTGTAAGCCAAGATTGACATTACATGCTTTGAATTTTGGCCGCACAGCTGCAGTATGCTGCAGTGACGCAGGCGGCTGCCTTGCGGCATGATGTGCAATTGCTTGGAGCGGGCGCGGACGCCTCTCCTTCAAGAGGGGTCAGAAGCTCAAGATACATCAATCCGCAGGTAGCCGCAGAGTTACCTCGTCACAGTCGTTCCGCCGAGGTCCAGCGGAAAGGCCAGCCGACGGCGCATTGCGGGCCGGGTGGTCGAGGCAGATGCACGCACTGGGGTCGAAGGTCAAAATGACTGCTGCTTCTGCCTGAACAAGTCCAAGAACATCCAAGAACATTCAGCCAAATAGACGTATATGTTATACAATATAACGAAGGACAGCCCTGAGAACAAACCCTTCACATGCAACATGCACATCGCAACACTCCACCATGAAAGCACCGCCCAGGTGCTAAACGACCACTACTTCAAGGAGCTCCGCGAAAAGCACAAGGTACTTTGGGGAAGACGGGTTTGGAGTGTTTGTCGGCGGGGTGGGGGGTGGGGGAGGGCTCTTTTTGCACAAGGACACTGGGCATTCGCTCGTCCTCTAAAGTCATACTGGGCAATGTCCTTTGCTTCGGCAAGATGGATGTAGTGAATGTGGTGAATGTTGTGTGTCGGCCGGTTTTGAGAAAGTCTGGTGCCGCATTGAGACAACTCAGAAACAGACCTTACTAAACCCGTAAGCCCTGCACAAAAAGTCAGGGCTCTGCTTCTCCTAAATTATACGAAATAGACTTTCATCTTACAACCAAGGAGGGCCCATAATGTGAACAACCCCTTTGAAGAGATCCCAAGATAAAAAATGGCCTGATCTTCCCGGAAGGTGCCAGAGGATTTCCTGGACACTGGGAACACACAGGCGGATCGGCAGATCTTTGGAGCCATTTAGGAAGCCAAGGAAGAGCCAAGACGAAGCCACCCTTGCCGGTCTGTGAGCTAGTCTGGTAGGAGCCATTTAGGACCATGTGGGGGTCGGGACCCCCAATATAGATCCCCAAATAGTTGAATCCCTTATAACCAATAAGGTACCCCTAATTTCGGAAACCTCCGGGTGTGGGTGTTTCCGAACAGTGCGGGATCGCCTTCTTTGCGAGGCTCTGAACCTCGACCTCCCCCGTCTGGAATCCTCTCACGGCAAAGGAGGCCGTGCACACCGAAAGTTGCCGTTTAGCAACCCGCAGCATTCCCCTTGAATTGGGCAAACCGAAGCAGATAGGATGCATCTAGAGAGGCCATTTCGCACTCCCTCTTTGTTTCCCTCTACCTCCCTCCCTCTCCTTGCCCAGTTAGCCAGCGTACAGTTGGAATCTGCAACATGATATGACAAGTAACGCGAATTTGATCATCCGATGCCGCTGGAATAGAATGATAGTTTGCTCTGGTTAGGCAAGATAAGCAATGCTGTGAAGTTTGGGAGCATAATATGAACTCGCCCCCCGCCCAGTTTTGTGCCGGGATGGATCGAGAAGGGGGAAACAGGGCAAATGCTGTATCAGTTCGTTGCATCTTGCAGAGCAGAGACTTGCCGATGCTCGATGCTGGCGGTTGTCCAAGAAAGCACTCTCGGTGGATCTTCCGTCCAGAGCGCGACACCACTTAATTGGATCAATGCTGGCGGCTGTGTGCCGTATGCTGCTGGCCATGCCAGCTTTTTGTGGACTTTGCAGCCCCTGTGGCAGGCCACGGGCAATTCAACAGCAGCTGCCGACGATATGCCCCTTGGCTTCATGATGTGAATGCGGTCTCGCCCTTGGCTTCATGATGTGAATGCGGTCTCGCGTGGGGTGCAATTCAATAGGCGCCGAGGGGTTGCCGATCTTCAGCCGTCGCCGCTGCGTCGCTCAGCCCGTCGCTCTTCTGGCAGGTCGTCAAGTCGCTGTCGAAAGATGACCACAAGGCGCTTCTGAGACTGGCGGGTCCACTGGTCGACAGAATGCTGCTCGGCAACACTTCGCCATGTAAGGATCTTTCAAGCCTCAGGAAGCCTGTCAACAGTCAAGCCCGAAGCCGAACCCTGTCGAACCTGAAGGGGTAAGAACTACGAGAACCCGTAGCCGGGCTGAATGCACTGAGGCTGCAGAACCGCACCTTGATGTGCGGCACCCTCGGAACAGTGTCCAAAAAGGACCCCAAAAGACCAAAAGGCGCAAAATCGCAAATCAGACGTTGAGTTGCGATATGTCCGATATGTAAGCAAGCAAGCGGCTTATTACAGCTTGTGAACTCAGACCCAGGCCCGATCTACCTCCACTTCATGGATGTTGCGACCGGCCGCTTCTTTATGGCCATGCGCAACCTCACGGAGGCAAGAGTGAAGGTTGCTTTGGGAGTTTAGGGCCTTCATTGACCCCAGTCAGAAACAAGAACGGGCTCGTCACGGTTTGGTTTTCAGTTTCTCTTGGGTTCGGGGTCGGTCTTCCTGTTGTCTCGTTCTGTCGTGTCCTTCTGGCTCTTGCCAGCACGTTGTCAGCTTCCTGACCCTGTGACCCTGTCCACGTTCTGTTCGACGTGGTTTGCGTGCCTCGGCGATGACCCACGAGCCCTGTAGACTCGGCGAGAAAAACGAAAGCTATGGAACGGCTCATAGCCTCAGAGCCATGCTGTGTTGCAGATGCCTCTATGTGTTCGGAACATCTGGAGCGCAATGCTCTGTGAGAGGCCGGACCTTGGGCAGCGAAATACGACCTGAAGGGCTGTGATGACGACAAGACCATTGAGGTCCAGCTGAGTCATTCAGCTTGCGTACAAAAATCTCCACCTCAGCTGCCCTGACCGCAGCTCAATGGCAAAACCATCCAGCCAGTCCGGAAGCGCTTCTATCGTGACTGCCTCGGTTTTTTTTGGCATGCTGGCTGCTGGTGCTTGCCGGCGTTTTTCCGAAGTTTCTTCCTGCTGAGGTCCGCACATGTGGTGTCAGTGCATGCCGGGATCTTGGCCAGTGCAAGTGCATGGTTTGCTTTGCAACTGATGATGCTAAGGTGGTCGCCAGAGCGATGGTTGTACTACCAGGGCAAGGCTCCTCTGGGATTGAACGATACTGTTCTGGGCTCTTGACTTCAGTCCAACAGGGCCTGACTCACTCTGCAAGGTTTTGATTGCTTGAGCCTCTGCTGTCGTAGGCGCTGTGTTTCCTGGCCTCTTGCAGTCCCAGTAGCTGCGCCAGGTCCAGGCCAGAGCATTACGGCTTCTCGTCCGCGCTAGCCTGCTTTGTGTTGAGCGAGTGTGCATTGCATGCTTTTATGAAGCAGTGCCGGCCGCCACGCACTTTCTCTGAAGCCCTCAATTCCGGGTGGTGGTTTCGCTCAGGCTTGGTGTTGCTGGCTCACACCATGAGGAGGTGATTCAGATGATCAAGTCAGATGCAGATGCTCGGCCTGATGTCTCTTCGCGGTGCTAGGAGGATTGCAGGCAGGCAGAAGCATTCCTTGCCGCCCCTGAAAGTTTCACAAACCTCCCTTTTTCTCTGAGGAATGGCTCATTAGTGCTGACCTTACTGCGATGCTTTATGTCGGAGCTCTCGTAGGTGACGAGTTCAGGGTGTCAGTCAAGATGTGGCTCTTGAGATTTCTTGAGATATCTAGAGTTGCCAATTTACGCATCAGATCCAGGGAGCCGGACTAGACGTTTTTCGGGTCTTTGTGTTGTGTTCGGGTTCCCCCACCTTCCCTGATGCCTTTCAGATGTTACTCGCAGGGCGCGTCAAAAGGACAGTTTTCACAGAGTTTGCTTTGTGCCACTTGCCGATTGTAAGCCTACTCCACTTGCACTTTGCACCTATGTGGAGCTGGACCAAACCGGGCCAGCAGCATTCTAGCAGTTGGAAAAGACTCTTTAAGTCACTCATGCGTACAAGAGGCAGTTAAAGCCGATGGTCGACCACAGCATCTGCGCACACAAAAGCCCACAGACGCCTTAACAACCAACCGCTTACGCAACGCGCAGCTCCTTGGACAAGAAGTTCTAGATTCGCCAGCGCTGAAGCTTTCCCGGCTTCATCTCGGCCCTGCTGTTGCCGCACTGCAAGACGATAAGACTTTCTAGGAGCTTGTGCCGTAACTAAGCAGTCAGTCGGGATTGAGAACGACCTCACGCGAAGATAAGTAGACACAGCACAGCGCCCTCAGTTTCGCCCACTCCGCATGGCGGGTTTTAGCAACTTCTGCTCACCATCTGGTCGTAGAGTATTGCACCTTGTCGTTCCGAGGCCACGACATCATGGACTACTCCCTGCTGGTGGCCGTGCGGCGGTTGCCGCCAGAAGTCGCGAAGAGTTGTGGAGCAGGCACTGTGCGTTACCGTCTACGCTCGGATGGGTAGACCATGGTAGAACCTCGATGTTCAGAGCAAAGGCTTTTTGAGCCATGATCCTAGTGACCTCTAGGCACTCAACGCATCTTCCACTCGTGCAGGCCTGGACTCCGTGGCGTGCCCCGGCGATGCAGCCATTGGCCTGCGTCCGCGCCACAGCTTCTTGATGGTTCTTGCAGGGAAACAGGAGGGAAGCACGCTGGCTTGCACACTTCGATCCGTTTTGGGTTGCCCAGGACGGTGGGCCATGCTGGACAAGACCACCGGTGAGCTGTTGGCCTTTCTCTTAGCTCAGAGCATAGGATTGCAAGACATTGCAAGTCTTTCGTGTTCCTCTAAGTTCAGTTTACTCGAGATCTTTTTAGTGCGTTACGCGCTGCGAGTTTCTTTGCAAGCTGTAGGAGGCCAGGGGAGATATACTAATACGGGAAAAAGAGACTTCGATGTCAGGTGCTCCACATGGGCATCATCGATTTTCTGCAGCCATGGACCACAAGCAAGGTGGCTGCCATGTGCCCGAAAGCGTATGCTCGCAGTGACTAGTGCTAGTCTTAGTATGGCATGTCACAAACAGACTGCTCTGGGCTCGGGTGCTATTCCAGGTACATCAAGTCTTTTGAGTTCAACAAGGCCCTTCACTCGCAACCCCTGGACAGGGCACTACCAGTACATGTCATGTTCGCGGGCGGGCGGGCGGGCGGGGGGGGAGTGTGCGTGAGCGTGCTTGGGCTTGTGCATAATGCGCGTGCTGCGTGCGCAGGTGGGTAGTGGTGTGGGTGTTTGGGTGTGTGTGGGTGTTTGGGTGTGTGTGGGTGTTTGGGTGTGTGTGTGTGTGTGTGTGTGTGTGTGTGTCTGTCTGGGCGTGGGCGTGGGGGCGTGGGGGGGGCGGGGGCGCGTGAGGGGGCGTGGGGGTGTGCGGGCGTGGGGGGGTGGGGGCGTGGAGGCCTGGGGGCGTGGGGGCGTGCGCGCGTGGGGATGCGCGCGCACCATTTTGTGTTTGTGTTTGTACTCGTATGTCCTTATGTGTGTGTTTGTGTGCGCGCGTGTTTTTTACTTTGTGTGTGTGCATGTGTGTCTGTGTGTGTTCGTTTGTTCGTTTGTTCGTTCGTTTGCTTGTTGTTGTGCTAAATATATACCGTTTCGGCGTCCGTCGGGGCCATGCGGGCCTGCTAACCGCCAACCCTCAAGCGCAAGAGTGTCAATTCCATCAAGAGCGCATCCACATGTTGTGTGTTCATGTCAACTTTTCAGCTTGAAGATGTGTACACATGTCCTGCGTACAACTAGTGTCAGATAGTGTCAGTTCACGAGCCGCGTGGAAGGCGACCGTGCCTCCGCCCCTCTATGGGCAGAGGCTAGGACATGTGGACCTTGTGTATGATTTTCAGCTGCTCTCCAAGTTAAGTGCACAACCTCTCGAAAAGGTTGAGTCTCCATTGCGCATGTTTGGACATTGTTTATTTAGACTCCAACACGATCTTGGGCCGCAGTGATGCCGGGTAGAGGAACTGCTGCGAAAACTCAGGCTCCGCTCCTTTGTGTTACGCTTGACATCTGTCAGGTTCGCAAAGCACTTTGAGGCGGGAGCCATGCGATGTGATGCGATGCTTGTGACGACTTGTGCTACACGGGCTACTTGTCAAAGAGCCAATTTGGTACCAAAGGAAAGACTTCATCTTACAGGTATAGACCGGTTGGGCCCCCCTGAATTGTCACGCCGAAGCACTAAAATCCTGAAACCGTGCCGTGGATGTCATGGATCGAATCTCAGCCTCTTGTCAGGAGCGGCTTAAGAAAGACGACACGCTCACTGCTCAGTCCGAAACGGACTCTAGGCTGCAAGCCGGACAGTTTAGGGCTTACGGCAGTTTAGGGTGCCTCGTGAGAGCCCTGCCGCTCCAGGTCACTTCTGCCGCCGAGCGTTGGTGCCAGGAGCATGACGGCATGAACGGTATCAGCAATGGAGATGGCATGCCAGGTTCCGGTAAACCATCCATGCCGCTCGCAACACATCACAGCAAAACGGCAGTCTCACAGGGAAACGCTTGCAGGTCAATGCTGATGCTGGCAATTATGCAGTGAGAAGTGCAATTTTCACAGGGCCAGAAGAAAGATGAGGCGGCTGAGTCGCCAATATCCAAGAGCCTACAGTAGTCCAGAAATCCGCAGATTCGCAGTGATCCCTGACCAAATTGGGGGCCGACTCTTTGCTTTGCAAGGATAAGATTTCGCAAGCCGGATGTTTCGTGGATCCCGTGTGGGCTCCCGAGCAGACTACTGTTTTCCTCAACAGACGGCAGACCTCCCACAAAGGGACCTGCTCCTGCCGTGTCGTTAGCGAAATTTGGCGGAAGCATGTCCATTGTGGCCGTTGGCCAAGCATCCTATGGCATCCTGACCCCGATCCTGCTTGTCTTCATCGAATTCAGCCATACTCAGACTTGATCTAAATATGCATAAATGCATGCAACTATCACAACTAAAACAGGCAAATAAACTAGCAGCCTCGCATTGGATTGATGTTTTTGGTTGCGCTGGGCAACTGCTGCTTCCGGAACATGTGGAGCATCTGCCCCTTGGAACTCAAAACAGCCCGCCGGCTCCTTTCGAAGTTTAGTCGTGCCCTCCCAGCCGATGTTCCGCCTCGGCCTCACACTTAACTTATAGTAGCAAGTCGAGGTGTGATGGACAACTTGTGCTTTGACCGGTTGGGGTCGTGGATGGGTAGGCACATTTTCGTTGTGGTTTGCGTGCCATGCCCAGATGAATACGCCAAAGTGTCTGAACGCGCATAATTTTGCACACCCAACCTGGTCTGCTTCGTCGCAAGAACAGTGCGTGAAAGGGACAGGGAAAGATAATCTCAAAGAGTCCAGTCCAGCAATCGCAATGACCTCTGGAAGATATGTCAAAGATACGACGTCCAAAGACGCCTTTGTGCAGCTCGGCTCGAGCACTCCGTCGCGGACGGAGTGTAATCGACGTGCCGAGCCCATCGAAGGACCGTGAGGCAGGCGGTCTCTCTGCACTCTGATTGTTTGCATCTGGGACAGTTTGGGACAGGATCTGCGACAGCTCCAGTCTCCTGTCTCCAGTATGTAAACTTTCGTTGCCTTGCGGCTCTGTGCCTTGACCAGGCCATTCTACGGAATGCGGACTCTCAATGTAGCTATCCTTGGCTTCCTGCACCTTGGCGTGGCCTTGGGCAACAAGCGCCGAGACAGCAACGAGCTGGGGCGACGCATTTGGGCTTTGATTCGGGTAAGGCCCTGTAGGCCATCGGCTGTCAGCAGCCCCAAACCCCAACCCTAAAACCTCACGAACGGCTGATGAGGCTATGGACGACGAATCTTCGACAAAAGGCGTTCGCCACCGCCGGGCTGCCGTTGGGCAACCTCACAGTCAAGCTGAAGGCGGCCACTGAGGCTGAACTCTGAGCACCGAGGGGTCGAAATTCGAAGTGCTGAACAGTCAACTGAGAGCAAATCTGAGACAACCATAGGAGTCTGAAGTCGGGCTGGCTTGTGGGCTCTGGGCCCCCGAATTTGGGGTTTGAACTTTGCTGGCTCTCCCTCTCACAGCCGCATTCTTCAATCTCAGTTTCCCAAGGAATCTTTCGTCAACTCCAGCACCGACATCGGTGAGATCGGCGGCATCAGACTGATGACAGCAAGTGGGCACTGCCGCAACCTTAGAGCACCGCGGAAGGTGCCGTGGAAATGCTGACTCTTCAACTCTCCAGCTAGAACAGGCCTTGTGTAAAGCCCTACCACCTCAAATGCCCTTCTCCTAAGCCAGTTTGGGCTTGCTTCGTCGTACTGTGCTGTGTATGAGCGTATCCCGAGCGAGCAAGCCCTTGAGCAAGCTGTTGAAGTTTGGCGACAGTCTTGGGGATTCGGCCCAATTTTCTGCGAAAACTGTCATTTTGAGAGACACTCTGGGCATAAGGTACAAAGTCTAGCTCCCTGAAGCGGCCAGTGTCTCTCTTGTGTGGGTGTGTGTGTGTGTGTGTGTGTGTGTGTGTGCGTGCGTGCGTGCGTGCGTGCGTGCGTGCGTGCGTGCGTGCGTGTGTGTGTGTGTGTGTGTGTGTGTGTGTGTGTGTGTGTGCGAAGCCCTGGGCCTGCATTCAGCTCCGAGGCATTAGCTGCACGACTCCCTTGCAATGCTCGACCTTGGATGAGCCAATGCAGGACTTAAAGGGGGGAGTGGCGATGGTTTCGATGGTTTGATCCGGCTCTTGTTCTGGCATTGTTTTGTCATCAGGCCTGTCCATTTGCAAGGTTCAGTGCCTCGCTGCTCTAAGTTCACCGAAACAAGGGCCCGAGTTCCTCTCAGAACCCCTCCTGTGCACTGCAGCGTAAGTGCAGGGGATGAGCATTGTCAAAGCCTGCAATCCGCAACCGAAGCCGGGCGACATGTTCAGCAGAGCGCTCAGACTCGGAAGCAGCATTTGGCACATGAATGTTCGCAATGATTAGTGTCTCGCGTGCAATTAGTTCACTTCTTGCAGAGAGTTGCGCCGAGGCTGGAAGGTCGATGGGAAGTCAGCCTATGACATCCGGCCACTGGGATTCGCAGAAATGTTCTGATATACATGCAACAACAATAGGATCTGCAGCGCATGCCAATGGAATTCTAACGTTTCTTGATTATCTTGCGACGGGAGATGTGGGGACATCTGGGGAGAATCTGAGGGTGGACTTTCCTCTGGACAAGCTCAATAACCAGCTGGATTTTGTCATTGAGATTCTCTCGGCCTTGGATCTCTCAGGCAGAGACGGCAGAAATCGGACCCATGGAGCACCTTGTGCACACATGCCCTCGTGCAGGAACCAACACGGGTGAGAAGAAGGGCCGGCAGGTGACGAGCTGGATCTCCACAGTCATCATCGGAACAGAGGATCACTCGGCCTGGATGAAGGTCGTCGGAGTCCCAGCTGCCCAGAAATCGGCCCGCAAACTGAGCTCGCTATTTTAGCAGTTCTTAAACTCCCTAACTCCTATAGCATCAATTCAACCTCCGCCTCCGCCTTAGCCTTTGCCTTTACTGCACCCACCGCTGTGGGCCCAGGCGGTGAACATGAACGGCGACTTCAAGAAAACCGTTGTCGGACGACAGGCTGCTGAGTTCCCAGGCTCGGCGAAGGCGCTCGGAGGGCGGAACCGGCAAAGAAACATTCCAAGCAGCACCTGAAGAGGGTCCTTTCGCGCTCAACAACAATAACAATGCTTCCCAGAATCTGTATTGTCTGCATTGTAGCATTGTATGTACACACATAATTATATATATATATATATATATTATACACATGTGAGACGAGCATCCCTAAGCCCTACTGAAAGCCCTAAGCTCTACCAGTACCTAATCCCTTGGCCAGGACATCTACGCTGGGGCCACGACCTGAGACTGCGAGCATGCCCCGATTCGATGGACTCATTTCATGAAGCTTGGTTCTTCTGAGGAATGTGCGAGGCCAAAGGACATCAGCGGCTACCATGCAGCCTGGATGAGCTTTTTGGCCACGTGCCGCCACAGGGTCGAAGGGTCAGAGGGTCAAAGCTGGGAGTCGCATACTTTTGTGCGGAGACGCCGAGAAGGGTCAGAACCGCCTTGAGCAGTACTAGCGGCGCTTAGGTTTCGGAGCCTTTTTTGGGTTTCTAGGGTGCAGAGCTTACAGGGGTTTTAAGGGCAGGGTATAGGGCCTGCAGGTAACAGAGCTAAGCATGGCGCGGACGCAGCTCAACGTGTTGGCTGCCTGCGCCTCCAAGTACATAGGCGGGGGCACGTTTTCCTCGCTCTTATACTGGGTGGTTCCCGGAATAGGGGTCGCCTTTTTCGTTTGCCCACACTTTAGTCTTGATGAAAGCGATGGAATCTTAGAAGGTGCCTTAGTTTTCCACAACCCCGTACGACCTGCCGACTGCTGTCCACTGCAATTCTGAGCCGCATGATTTGGTCGAACAGAAGTTCACACACCACACACGCGCCTGCGCGTGCTGCAAGAAGGGCACGAACTTCGTGTCATCGCCATCATATTCATCATCGTCATCGTCGTCATAGGCAGTAGAGCTCACTAAGCATCGCTCGCACATCATTCCAGCATGCTGCGCCGTGGACCCTGCGAGGTGTCGCAAAAGTGACAACATGCAAGGCCCATGGAGAGGCGTACGTGCTGCACTGGACTCAGACTCTCGAGCTCTGACCTGCAACGGCTCTTGGTGACATGCGGGGTCTTGAAATGTCTGGAAGTTTCTTGCAGCTAGGTCTGGCTGCGATCCGGAGAAGTGCGTTGCTCCTGCCACCCTCACCGGCTATGTAGTGAAATCCGTTGACGTGCAGCGGCCTTTCTTTACCGCTGACGTTGTGTGCGACAATGAGAACGGCCACTTGGCCATGTTCCAACAGCGCCGAGTGGGAAAGACTGGTCTCAAGCCGTATGAAGCAGCTGCGTAGATCTGTGTAGTGCATCGTTCTTCTCGCAGGTTACTACGGCACGGCCACTGCGGATGTTTGTTCTTCTAATGGTCAAGAGTACACGCTGTGGGGCTGCGACACAACGACCTCAACCAGCACCACCACCACCACCTCAACGACGACGACAACCACCACTACAGCAGCATGCCTGTAAGCCTGTCCAGTAGCAATGTTGCAGGCACGCAAAGTTGGAGACTTGCAGGTGTGAGATTGAATGCACAAAGGCGGTTTGAAGTCCAGTCGGTCCATTCAGGGATTGGGAAGGCTTCTGGCGAGACTGTTATGTGCAGTGAGTTGGAATGAGACATGCCTCATGATTCACTCTTCTCTCAACTCAGACGACCACGACAACGACGACCACATCCACGACAACCACAACCACGACTACGACCACAACTACAACCACCTCAACAACCACCACGACCACTACCTCCACAACCACGACGACAACCACCACATCTACGACGACCACAACCTCGACCACCACAACGACGACATCGACATCAACAACCACAACCACTACGTCCACGACAACTACCACCACGACCACCTCAACCACCACCACAACCACCACGACCACTAGCACCACAACTACCACAACCACCACTTCCACGACCACCACAACCACAACCACGTCCACCAGCACCTCAACCACGACGACAACCACTACAACCACAACCACTACAACCACCAGCACCACCACAAGCACCAGCACCACGACTACCACCAGTACCACCACCACTACTACAACCACCACTACGACCACCACAACCTCAACTACAACAACAACCTCGACCACCACAACGACGAGCACTACAACAACCACCAGCACAACCACTTCCACCACGACCACTACTTCCACAACGACAACGACAACCACCACATCCACGACCACCACCACCACCACCTCGACGACTACAACCACATCCACCACCACCACGACCACTACAACATCCACGACTACTACCACAACCACCACCTCAACTAGCACTACCACCACCACTACCACCACAAGCACTACCACAACGACTACCACAACAAGCACAACAACTACCACCAGCACCACGACAACCACGACGACAACCACAACAAGCACAACCACAACTACTTCCACCACAACGATTACCACCACAACTACTACAACCACTACCACATCAACATCCACGACAACGACCACGACCACAAGCACCACCACGACAACTACAACCACAAGCACCACAACCACAACCACCAGCACTACCACAACCACCACCACAACCACCACATCCACAACCACCACTACCACAAGTACGACGACCACAACTACGTCGACAACGACCACCACGACCACTTCAACGACTACCACGACCACGACTATTCATGGCTTCTGCATGGCCCCAAAGAATGCCGTGGGATACATCATCGAAGAAAACAATCTGTGGTGGTCCGGCTTCGACGTTGTGGTGAGATGCGACACGCCCACCTACATCGGACACGCAAAGGTGGAAGTCTGCACGGAGGCGGAGAAGCCCTATGTGGTCCACGGCTGCGTGGCCTCCTTAGGCCAGTGAATGTCATTTTAGGTCGCTTAGTGTGTTTTCTGTGTTTCGTCCAGGCTGAGTGAACTCCCACGGCAAGCTGAGGCCAAGTACATCAACTGCAAGACCCCAGCCAGCACACAAGGCTACGTGATCACGGAGACTGGTACAGAAGCTGATCTGAAGAGTTATTGATGGTTATGCTTTCGAGCGACTCCCTGCTGCTGCGTCTAGTTGTAGCTGTGAGCTTGCCGGGGCACGAAGCAGCACCGCCTCGTAAGGAGCTGCACAAATGGGATGTGAAGGCGCAGTGCGCAGCGCTGTACCACGGCACGGCGGTAGTCAAGGAGTGTGACGACGACGGCCTGCCCTACGGCATTTCGGCGCAACAGAAGTCATAGGGATGGGGACTCCAAAAGTTCCCTCTCTCCCTCTCTGCCTGTCTCCCTCTCTCCCTCTCTCTCTCCCTCTCTCCCTCTCTCCCTCTCTCCCTCTCTCCATCTGTGATGCAGAAAGCCATACAGGAAAGTTGGTTGTTAGGTCAAAAAGGGTTTGATTGGGCCAATGAGATCTTGTGTCCCAAGCAGCTGCTCAGGCATTTCAGGCTGCGAGCCAGACACATGCATTGAGCCCACCGACACGACGGGATACGATCTGAAAGTGAAAGATTTGGAGATGTGGAAGCATCTTGGAATGACTTGCTTGTGATTGCCTGATGCCTTCGGATCCCTTCTGGGTTAAGCCAGCCATCTGCTAAGCTGCTAAGGTTTAGCGTTACCATTGCATGTGCGTCGGGTTACATTGGCGATGCTAAAGTGGAGAAGTGTGATGGGCACGGACTGCCTTACAAGATTGCCGCTTGGCCCGTGTCAGGTTCCGGAACGCATTCAACATAGCTGTAGAACCCTGATGCAAGATCACTAACCAGAAGCTGTGTGTAGGCTACTTCGCACGATCACGTTAGTGACGTTGAGTCATATGTCTTGCCACATATCTCTGCGCTACATTGCCATTATCTGCCACTGCATGCTCGGCAGTTCGGCTGGAAACAGCATGACGCAGCTGTCGCAGAAACCTTACACCGAGGATGGTTGTCTGCCGACGACCACCACCACGAGCACCACCACCACAACGACTACCACGACGATCGACGAGCCTTGCATGGCCCCGAAGAACGCCATCGGCTACAAGATCACGGAGAACAGCGTGCATTGGACATCCTTCGATGTGACTGCAACTTGTGCCGATCGGTTTTATGGGCACGCCCATGTGAAGATCTGCACCAAGCCGGACATGGTCTACTACCTGTCAGGCTGCGTCTGGACCTCAGGTTGCCTCTGAATGATGCTGGTAGCGGAGAAAACGCTTTCTTCATAGCAAGTCATGCTTGCTTCCGCGCCCAGACCAGAGTGGTCACCTGCAAGACCCCTCAAGACACGCTTGGCTACCACGTCAAGGAGGCCAACCTGGCTGCCCGACTCCAACAGCTGTAGAGAGGTCCATGACCAGTACGTGAATCGAAGAGCCTAGTGCAAATATTGGCTCCAGTATGCTGCACACATCAGAGCAATCCACAAGATAAGGACACGCACCAGTGGGACGTTACGGCTTCATGTGCCTGTGCTGGAATTTAACAAATCCAGGTGTGCACAACATGGAGTCCATGCTGAGGTGCGCGCATCTCTGATGCTCCAAACTCTCGAATCCTCAAGAGCTCTGAAGCCCCTCTTGATGAACTTCGCTGACTCATGCTGACTCTGTGAATCTCTGAACACCGAGGTGCCCAGAAGTTTCATGGCACGGCGAAGGCATGGCACACGTGAGCTGTGCGCCTGCTGAGGTATTGCAAGTTCTACAAAGCATGTGGGTCTTGGGGCTTGAGCCATATCAGATGAACATTCGGATGCTCATAAAGAAACGTAAATACCGAAGAAATGTGCACATTGAATCATTGAATATGTGTATTGATGTACACTTTTGTTCGGAACCCGTACAATTCTTCCCCCCTCCTCCCACCCCGCGCGTAGGAAATTGGGGGGGGGGGGGTGGGGGGGTGGGGGGGTTGAGGGTATTCGCTTCAGCCTGTCAGGTGACCCAGTGCGACGAGGACACCTATCCTTACGCCCTTGCTGGTTGCCAGCCGGACACATGTACCGGCCTCATTGATCTTGCAAGCGCTAGCCGGCGTTTTCGAACAGGGTCACGTGCCGAGAATGAAGTGTCTGCTGAAAGGCACCGGTCCATCGGATACCACCGGCTACACCTACACCGCAAACTCCCTTGCTATGCAACTCGGTCCGGTCAGAGAGAAGTATTGCTGAAGGACAGCCGAATTGCAGAAGCAGACCTGCTCTGTGTGTGTGTGTGTGTCAGGCACAACTTCGACGTTTCCGTGGAGTGTGCATCGGGCTATGAGGGCAATCCCGCTGCCACGGTTTGCGATGGGCATGGTAAATCCTTTACCATTGATCCTTGGCGCATCTTGGGACGAGTCATGTTCGGGCGGGTGATTGGGGTTGAGAGGCCTACTTATGGTAGATGCGAAATCCACTTGCCAAGCCTTGCAGGTCCAAGTTGCCTGGCTAATGTTTCATGGTTTCGCCACTGAATGCTTTGAGCAGTGCTGTGCCAACTTTGCCAAGGATGGATGCCAAACCACAACCACTACTTCCACTACCACGACGACCACCACCACGACCACCACCACCTCCACTTCAACTACGACGACGACAACCACAACAACCACCAGCACTACCACCACAACTACCACTAGCACCACCACAACCACCACGACCACTACTACCACAACATCGACCACCACAACAACGACAACCACAACAACCACCACCACAACAACTACCAGCACAACAACCACAACCACAACGACGTCGACCACCACAACCACGACTACCACATCCACAACTACAACGACAACAACCACAAGCACTACCACAATCACCACTACCAGCACAACCACAATCACAACCACCACCACCACCACGACCTCCACCACAACCACAACGACCAGCACAACCACATCAACTACAACAACTACCACGACCTCCACCACGACAACTGTCACGATTCCAAAGCTGGTGTGTTCCGCGCCACTGGACACCACAGGCCACTGGAACTTTCGACGGTGTTGAATCGGAAGGTTTAACGCGCCGTCACATCTGTGAGCTTCAACAAATGCTTGCTGAGTGCATCGTACTTGCCAGGCTACCTGATCTCCGAGCACAACCTGCTACAGGAAAGCTTCAAAGTCACAGCCGATTGTTCCGATGAGCGCCTGCAGCTGCAACAGCTGCAACACACATGGAAGATACGAAATCGCACGAAATTCTAAATAAACGCAGAGCGGAGGTGAGACGTTTGCAAAAGAACCCGAGGTACATTGGCACCGCCAGCGTGGTCGCGTGCACGGAGGAGGACAACGTCTACAAGGTGAAGGGCTGTGAGAAGAAGGTCTTCTGCTTTGCGCCGACAGCACTAGGCCGAGTGCCGACCAAACTTCATGGGGCAAGAGCATACAACAGCCCCTAAACCCTAAACCCTAAACCCTGCTGTATCACGACCCCACCAAAACACTTGGCAAGGCTACCACGTCGACGAGAAGAGCCTTGTTATGCAAGCCTTCGACGTGACGGCGACTTGCGCGGCCGGCTTCCATGGCTCAGCCAAGGTGCAGAAAAAAACAATCATAAAAATGATAGAAAGAATACTAATAATCATAATCATAGTCATAATGATAATGGTAATGTTATTCTTGCCAGTATTATTATTGTTGTTATGGTTTTCTTATTATTAGCATTCGTATGCTACTGAAAGCTACCCGGCCTCTTGCAGGTCCAAGCGTGTTCCAAAACCGACAGCGAGTACAGCATCAGCGGTTGCAAGGAAAACTTCTGCACGTCGCCAAGTACGGTAGGCGCATGGCTGGAGTCGAAAATAGCATGGCGAAACATTTTCGCTTGTGAAGTTTGTGAAACGTGCTGCCTGTATGGGCCCGACCAGGCTATGCTGTCTCCGAGGTTGAGCTGCGTCAGCATGCCTTCCAGGCGGGATCCAGTCGAGCAAGTTCTTGCAAGAAACCCTTCGGGTCACCAAGTTTCGATCATGTTTGATCAGGTCACAGCAGCTTGCGACAATGGCTATGAAGGTACCGCCGTGGCCAAGGCTTGCAGTGTCCACAAGGGTGGCCAGGCTGCAAAGTATGTCCTAGTCTTCCACAAGCATGTCCAAGCTACAAGCTGCTTTCCCAGGCAGCTACGTGCTCTCGGGTTGCACAAGGAGAGAAATCTTCTGCGTTGCCCCCACCGCCTCTCGGTCAACAGCTGCACGGTGATTGTCCTGTTGTTGCAAGCGTGCTGCGACTGCTTGGCGCGTGGGGACTGTTCCAAGGTCACCGACGGCTATGAGGTGACCGAAACGGATCTTCGAGTGGACGAGTTCGAAGTGAAGGCCAGCTGTGCTGCAGGATACACAGGCGACTCGGCTGCGAAAGCATCACTGCTCACATTGTGGTCGCAGCACGCGAATAGTGACTAGTCAGTGCCAAGCAAAAATTATGTCTTTCCTCCGATCACAGCTGAGGCACTGCAAAGGTCATAAAGTGCTCGGGTTCGACACAGAAGGCTGCCAGTCTCAGCATTTGCAGTGGTCCATCGAGCCATTGGGAGTCCATGTAATCCCATCCAAACCCAGGCTGAACCGCCACAAACCCCTGTCAGGTTGCAACGTCCTACTCTTTGGAGGGCTGCACCAGCACGAGTGAAAGAGCGCCCAGCTCGAACGTCTTCTGCGTTGCCCCTTCAGCCTCTCGGTCGAGGACAGCTTTGGGCATCTGCTCCGGATTTCTACGGCTTCTTTAAAGCTTAAAGCCGCGGCTTCCGATAACTGATGAATGGATTCTGGTGTTACAAGACGGGACCTGCTCAGGTCACCGATGGCTACGACATATCAGAGACGGATCTCCGCGAGAGCATGTTCCAAGTAACGGCCAGGTGTGCTACAGGATACTCAGGTAGCTTGGATGCGAGATGTCAGAATACGGTATTGTCGAGATGTTGGAAATACGGAGAGCGCTGCTCGCATCTTTGGGCAGTCCTTACAGTCCCGGCACTGAAAGAGCTTTGAGGCACTGCGAAGGTCGCGAAGTGCACAGGCGCAACAACAAAGGCCAGTGCTTCTGGCGTCCATGGAGTCATTTCAGTTAAGCGCGATGTGGGCATGTTTCTCAGGAGGCGAAGCCCTACACTCTCAGTGGATGCACAAAACGCTGAGCGCCTCAGCACTCCGTCTGTAGACTTTGACGGCGTCAACACGACCAAGCTGTCAAACATGCGAATGAAGTCTCGCAATGAGAAAAGGAGACGACGATCCCGCACCCCTTAGGCTACTAGTGACTAGTCGGGCACAGCAGTGCAGCCAGAGGAAGGTCCTGACGATTTTGCGGATGCAGCTCATCGTGCTGGCAAGTCTTTGGCCCAAACATGTCGTACGTGTTTGTGCACACAAGGGTTAGCATCTGGCAGAAAAAAGCCTACTGCCGACAATATGTCTGTAGGATTCACATCATGACAGCATCCGCGAAACTCGGGAATCGGGAAACTCCCAACAGGGTGCTTCTGACAAAACACGAGCGACCAGAGGAGTAGACTAGTTTCCATGCTGGCAGTATCGAAGCGACGGCCGGTGAAGCAGCGACTCAAGCGCCCTCCTGAAGGATGTCAGTCTTTGCTGGCCGTGGCGCGGAATTGCCGAGAGTGCGGGGAGCGACTGAGCGCGCTGGAGGGTGCCTTACACCTGTGCCCGGCCGTGTTTCGATGGAGCTTCCAAGGCGAAGTCGTGGGCAGCGCGCCCAGTGCCGACGGCCCCTGCCGATTGGTCCGGCTGGGTGCAAATGCACGGAAAGGTGCGGCAGGCACAGAGCTTGTGGAGTTGTGGGAGAACATCCGGAGAACCCAGCTCTCACATATCTTGGAGTTACCATCAATGGAGCAATTGGCCAGCAGGAGTGCCATTCTCCTCTTGGCCTTGCGAGGTAAGGACGTTCTTGCACTGCTAAGTGCAGAATGCATAGCTGCTCGCCAGCTCTGCCCATCAGCAGAAACAAAGCAAGCAGAAGTCGGGGGAGTCATCGGAGTGCCCCACGGAGCATCCCGGGATCCTTTGCTGGGCTTGTCAGTGCTCTGGACCCGGCGACGTGAACGCCGACGCGGCCTGGCAGCTGCGCTGGTGGACCGCCCGGGGCCCGGGAGAGATTTGTTTTGGTTTTGTTCTCTTGTGATATTCGGTAGTAGGAGGAGCTGAAGTAGTAGGTGGCAACAGCACAAGCAACCTGCGCAGTATGTTATGCAAAGAAGCAAATGCTGCAAATACCAAAGTTTTCATGCTCGTGACAGTTGTTCCAGACACTGCTGTAAACACCGGTGTTGTGGGCATGGTCACCAAAGGCATCTTCTTTGCAAAGACGTCAAACATCCTCTTGCATTCTGATGTGCAAAGAGGTACGAACGCCGTAAATACCAGTGTTTTTGGGCATGGTCGCCATAGGACCGGAGAAACGGACGATATTGTCTCCCCATTCCCACCCCTGCGCCCCCACCCCCCTCCCAAGAAAGAAAACCAAAAAACTTGGCCCTGTACTGCGCGCCGTGTGCCAACCACTAAGACCGTGTACTGAGTACTTGTAGGAGTTATCGTACTTTCAGTCGTCAAAGTACTTAGTACCCAAGTACGCGGAAAGTAGTATGAAGGAGTAGGAAATGGAATTCCAGTAGTAAAGTACATAGCAACTGGATGCAACTGGTAGTATGGCTCTTCGAGTCTTCGTGGGAGTCGTATCCATGGAAGCGGAGGTGCGCGGGAGCTCCTGGCTCCTGGCAGCCGAGTCGCTTTTTCTCAGCCGACCGAGCTTGGCCAAGCCTTCGCCAATCAGTATGTCCACAGGCCCGGGACCGTTTAGGGTTTAGGGTTATATGGTTAGTAGGGTTTATAGGGTGTATAGGGTTTATAGGGTTTATCGGGTTTATAGGGTTTATAGGGTTTAGGGTTTGGGGTTTACAGGGTTTAGGGTTGATAGGGTTTAGGAGCTTCCGACCGCAGCTTCTCGTTTTGCAGGAGAAAAGATCTGGAAGAAAAGAGCGTGCTCATTTATGAGCCCGAGTGCGCGGGGCCATAGGATGCCATAGCATGCACACACAGATCGTGCTTGATCGTGCGAGCTTGTGGCAGCTGCTTCTGTCACCAGCAGCATCTCTGTAGATTCTCTTCAGAATCTATCGTTTCTGGGCATCGGGCTAGACTTACACAGCCAGACTCAGCCTCCCTTCTGTGAATGCCGGCAGAACACCTTGATTCCATACTGCTACGTAGTGAACTTGCTGAGACTGGATGTGGCAGTGACAATTTGCTGTTCAGATTGTTCAGTTGTCACTGTCGATGTCAGAGCTTGCCTGCGCTGGTCATGATTCCGATGAACATACTCGCATCACGTGATTCATCGTGTTTTCTCTGTTGCTGCTGGTTATGTTCTTGATCATGCCACACGCGTAGGTTGCGAACGATGCCTTGCAAAGGGGTGCGGGCAACGCTTGGGGCAAAAGAGTTTGCCCACACGTGCTGCATACATACTCGTACAAGTCGGCATTCAGAGCACTCCCAGAAATCTTGAGAAGGACATCGCAGTTGTTATCCGAAAGCAGCTGCAGCTAAACATGTCATTCTGCCTCGACCTAACTCCCAACCCAGGGGCCCTTTGCATGTCATCTGCTTACCCAAGAATCTGCTCAGTCCTACATGGCTGTGCTGCGCTCTTATAGGCCAAGACCTGCAGGTGACGAGTGACAGGAGTGTAGCACGGTGTGCACTCATGGCCCCCAAGCCCACACCAGTTTTTTTTCACAATTCTCCCACATCCCAAGATCCCTGGAGCACGAAGCCATGGCATCAAGCTAGCATGGCCGATGACCACGTGCACCTCTGAGAGGGACTCCAGCACAAAATCATGTAAGCCGTAGAGCCTTGACCCTCACCAGCTGAAAGAAGAGGCCCCCCCCCGCTTTGACTTGCAGACAGCTCCTTTTTTGCAGCAGTTTTTTTTTGGGAGTAAGAAGGAAATCGGTCGGCGCGCCCCGCAGCGCACCGCGGGATTTCCTCGGTCAAGCCCAGCCGCGGCGTGGCCGCGCTCGCTCGAAACTGTCCTCACTTTTTGGCTTCCCGACATGGACATGGCGAAGCCGTCGTCATCTGTCATCGCTTTTGGATGTGTGGATGTGCCAAGTGCGAAGCTGTCGTCGTTGTAGGACGTGTCCATATTCGCCAGATGCCACATGCGAAAACTGTCGTCGCTTTTGGATGTCTGTGTTCGTTTCTTCTGGACGTCTAGCCTCGCCAAATGAGAAGCTGTCGGCATTTAGATTTCTGGATTCACATGGTTTACGCTGGGATTTTGAATCAGCATTGCATGACGCGTGTATGCAGGCGCAAGCCTGCTTACACTTGTTGTTGATGTAACAGCAACGCCGCCCATGACAAGTCCCTCGGCACCACTGCGTGCACTCTCCTCATATACGACTCTGCTTCTGTAGACGTGGGAGGCTTCTGCGAACATGGCAGCATAACTCTGCCACTCTCCCCGCGCTCCCCAGGTGCTGCTTCCCTGTGAGAAGCCCTTCGAAGACGAGCTACAGCGAAACCGCGCGCGCGCCGCTTGGATGTTTTATTATAGCCTTTGCCAAGGTGGGGAGGTGGGGGAGGAGGCTCTTTGCTCTTAGGCTCTTAGGGGGCCCTTTGACCAGTGGCCATCAGTGACCTGACTTTCACACGACAACGTTTTGCCAAGGCCGCGGCTCGCAAAGAAAAGTTTGAGCGAGATAAGAAGGTTGTGCAGTATGTGCAGAGCCAGACCGGCCGCTGGGTTTGAAAAAGCTCTCTGAGGAATCTCCACTTCTGAGTGACCCGAATCCGGAATCCTGAGCCCCTAAACCCTAAACCCTAAACCCTAGGCCTAGGCCCTAACCCCTAGACCCTAAACCCCTGCGCGGGAAGCAACATCAGGCGTGCGAAAGAAGGAGCCCCTTCGAGGAGAGCTGTCGCAGCTGCACAGCGGCTTTTGGAAAACCACGGAGATCAGGAGCACAAGTTTTGCATATCAAAAGGTCTTTTGTTTATTGCAACCTTTCACCCTAAACCCAAAGCCCTAAATCCTGGAAAGGCGCTGGGTGGAACTCGACGAGCACACCGGCATCCTGGTGATCTGGACGCAACGCCCCCCGAAGGGCCTGGTCTACAAGATCGAGGCGTTTGGATGTGTTTGGGAATATCTGGTCCAATGTTTGCATAACTTTTGGGACGGGGGATTGAGTGAGAACACTCACATATCTTTAGCTCCAAGAATGGGTTTCGGATGAAATTTTGAGACCCTAGAACCCCATGTGAACACAAGACTAGCGACTAGTACTACAAATCATGCCTAGCAGAACGCCACCATAGTTCTTCCATGAAGCAAGGCCACGAGGCTTGAAGTACCAAGCAGGCTTTTGAAGATCGATTCATTTTGGGAGGCCATACATGAAATGAAGCAGCTGATTCCTGGATAGACCTCGGTGCATTGACCCTGAAGGAGCTTCGTGCACGAAAGAGCTGGTCCTGGTTCAACAGTGGGAAGCAAGACCAGGCTATTCCCATCAGTGTCGCTGCTGCAAGAAACTTTGTGTTCTGCAGCCTGCGTTTGGTGGTGGCCAACCCTTCTGAGGTGTGTTTAGCATGAAGGAGCTGCAGGATGTTGATGCCTGCAAGCCATACTTGAGCATCTTCCTCCATTTTAGGAGGCGATCCCATTTGCCGCCAGTGCAGTGCCGGCCGTGGGATTCTAGCGGCATGTGCTACACCTGGCAGGAATGGCCTCATTTTGATTGCTCCTGGTGAGGAGGACCTCGCGATTCATGAATAAGTGCTGGCAGTCATGGCAGGAAGGCATGAGTCATGAGCTTTATGATATACAGAGCACACATGGGATGCAGCAGAAGTGACGGCCTGTGGCGGGAGGAGTTTGAGCACTGGCTGAACGCCTTGGGCCAGTTCGTACGTGACCCAAGTCCTGCCACCGAAAGTGTCAATTCCACAATCCCACTGCACCCAAGACATGCGCATGTCTTTAGTTTGGAGAATTCGATGAGGTTGGCGTGAGCAGTAGCACCTTCAAGTGGAAGCAGGTGCAGGACACGGACAGCAGATTAATGCAATGATCCACAATGACCCTGAACTCGCTGGGTCTTTGCGAAGGAGGAGGAGGAGGAGTAGACAAGACCGATGTCGGCTGAGAGGATGTGACTTCGAATAGGCATTACAGAATGGAGCCCCCGGGTTCAGCAGAGCGCACAACTGCGCCTAAGGCCTGTTGGAAGCGAGATGTAAATGTACAGCTGTGGGCCTGTCCATGGATTGCAAAGCAATGCTGTGCTTCAGAAGCCCCTGGGTTTTGTATGGCTTTGTGAGTTCCTATCTCCAAGCCTTAGGTTGCGCGGTGTGAAAAGCATTCGTAACAGTGTCGAAGCATCGCTGTTGATGCGCTCAGCATGTAATGCTCCGCAGATCTAAGCAGCATCATGTCAAAACAGGCTCTACGGCAAACTAATCCGTGAACGCTACATGAAGAGTACAAATGACACGGATGACCGCGTAGGCCCGTCGCTTTGTGTTCTCCCTCCTCATGTGCGCGAACACCAGACGGGAGGCCGCTATGCGACTGTCAGAGCCGATCACGCAATTCCGGCTAGTAGGCCTCAATCAGGAGTTCTGACGCCTCAACGTGCGGGTCAGGCACATGCTTTGACAATGCCGCCGATGCATACAAATAGGCAGTGGCGCAGGCAGGGCCGGCGGCGTCAGGGGCGGCAATCCCCAGACCCAGATTAGCGACAACGAGCGGGGAACGCTTTCGCACCGCGGGGAGTCGACACAGAATGTCCAGTAGGAAGCGTGACGACGTGACGATCCGCAAACGCGGAGGGTGACGGCGTAGTTCAGTTCCGCAGAAGCCGTGCAGCTTGGAGGTCCGGCACAGGGACGCTGTGCAAGTGCCCGTGTTCAGCACTTGTGGCCGAGAGGGTACGCTGGACACGTCCATGCCGCGGGGCGTGCCAAGGATGATGAGGCCCTGGCAATCGCGAAGCGACCAGTCCTCGATCCACGCAGTCTCATCGCCGGCCTTTCGCAAATGAGAGATCAATCAGTTCCTCGCCAGCGGCATTCCAAATGCGTGTTGTGCCACGGTTGAGCTCGATATATCCCGGCGTGGGCCAGACGCGGCTACGACGTAGACGTCGTCGAGCTCGCCTTTTGCTGTGCCAACGCCGTAGGGAAGCTTGGGGGATGTGCTTTAATGCTTTAATGTATTCGGCAAGACTCGCACTCCCTGGTGCCCCCCGATCATAGGGGTTGAAAATACACTTGCGAGCTTGGGAGGCAAAAACCATGGTATTGATGCCTGCTACTTCAACTTTAACGCGCGCACAAATCCCAACGGGTATGGCAAGAGCAAGAAATGCGCTCCACCACAAAACGCTTCCAACCTTTTCCGTCGCCAGCCGCAGCCCGTTGCGAATGCCGGGGCCGATGCGGCCCTCCCCACGCCGAATAGAATAGAGGCCGCGCTGACTGCTGCGCTGAAGTTGGCCCCGGCCCTGTCACCACTGGCGATGCCTCGCCCACCGCGTTGCCGGTGCTGAGCGTACTCGGGGACGAGTCGCCGCGGCGGGCGCGGACGTGGCCGGCGACTGGAGCTTGCCAACGTATCCAATGTCGCTGTCGCGCAAGCGCCCGCTGTTCTAGCTGAGTCCGCGCCCGCGAGTGGCACTCAGTGCGAGCGTGGTGTCCTCGCAGCCGAGCCGGGTTCCATGCCGGCTTCGCTTCGCTCGATGGGATCAACTTTGAGGAGACCTGTCATGCACGCATCCTGACATTGCAGTCCCTCTTGCTAAATTGCAAATTTAGCGTGCCGGAGGTGCCCTCCGCACCGGCCTCGCCTGACGCGTCCTCGCTTGACAGCCGCGCGGTTGGAAGCTCTTCAGCCTGGCCCCGCGCATGCTCCTGTACCGGGGCTGCCGGGGACGGCCGTGTCCCACCAGGCGAACTTGATCGCCGCTGTCAGCTGGGGAGTGGCTGCAGGTGCTGGCCGAGGCAACTCGGGCTGTCGCCGGGAAACGATGAGGAGGCCAGAGCGCATCGCGCAGCTGCCCTCGTCCACCGCAGGATACCGCAGGGAGTTTTCGGCCGCTGGACGACACACTCGGGGAGCTGCAGGACCCTGAGCGGCGCCCTCCCGAAGCCTATGCCCCGTTGCCCGCTGCAGTCCGTGCCTTTCAGGCTGCTGAGCCGTGCCCCCTCACTCTTCAGTTGTTCGTCGCTTGCCTTCGTGGGTGGGACGCGCGGCAGATCGGCCGCAGAACCTTCGCGCATCCGCCTGGATGACGAGGACGATTCTCGTTTGTTGCATTCTGCCGCGCAGCAGCTGACGCTGCCGTTCCACCGGCCGTTCTCGCCGGATCTCGCCGGCCAGAGGCTTGGCCGGCTGGTCGCCTTGCGCAAGCCCAATGGCCGCGTGTGCGCCGTCGTTGCCGGGGATGTGCTGCGTCGCCTTGTCGGATGCTCCCTAGGGCCCTAGGAAACATTGAAGCCGTCATTCGCTTGTTGCGTGCTGCCACCGAAGCTGATGCCAGGGCCACGGTGCTCTCCGTCGACGCCGTTGGCGCTTTCGACCATGTGGCGCATCGGTCCATGCTGGCCGTTGGAGCGGTCGGAGTTGCGACCTGTTACCCTACGCGAGCCAGGTCTAGGCTGCGCCGAGCAGCTATAACTGGCATGCCGGCTCCAAGCCAACGGCGGGGAGCAAGGCGACCCCCTGATGCCTGCCCCTTTTCCTTGGCAATCCAACCCGCGCTGTGCAAGACCTGTTGGAGGACGGGCGGGCAATTTTCGCCTTCCTTGACGACGTCTATGTCGTCTCACGCCCAAAACGTGCGCAGCCCTTGCATGACGCGCTCGGGGCGGCGCTGTGGGCGCACGCGCGGGTTGAGCTGAACGCGGGTAAAACGCGCATTTGGTGCGTTGCAAGCGAGGAGCCCTCGCAGCTCTCCGCCATCCGCCGTGATTGGTCCCTGCCGGCTGACCAGCAAGGCCTCATCGTCGTCGGTGCCCCGCTTGAGCTCCGCACGGAGCCGACCTTCAGGCTGCGTGGCTGCTCAAAGTGCCCCGCGCCACGCCAACCTCGGCAAGATGCAAGTTTGGAACGCAGCGGGCGAAGAACCTGAGGGCCTGGCGGCGGAACTGCCGCCCCTGCCAGGACACCCCCCAGTGTGGGTTGGTGCCCACTTTTTGCCGGCAGAACAAGGCATGCTCGTCCTAGGCACACCGTTGGGCAGCGATGCTTTTGTTGACACGTTCCTGCAACACAAGATAGGGACCCACACGTCCTTCCCCGTGCAGGCCCTCCAAGCCCAGCCCTCCAGCTTCTCCGCCCCTCCAGCCGCTCCAGCTCCCCTCCAACCCCTTCAGCCCCCCAAGCCCCTCCAGCCTCCAGCCCCTCCTGCGGGCCCCCCAGCCCGCCTCCCCACCGTCGCCCCAGCTCCTCCAGCCCCTCCCGCCCCTCCAGCCCCTCCAGAGCCCCTCCAGCCCCTCCAGCTCCTCCACCCCTCCAGCCCCTCCAGCCCCTCCAGCCCCTCCAGCCCCTCCAGTCCTCAGACCCAGCCCTCGAGCTCCTGCAGCCCCTCCAGCGCCTTCCAGCTTCCAGCAGCCCCTCCAGCCCCCCAAAATCCCCGAATTCCTGGACCTTCAGGCGGCGTCGTTGCTATTGCTCATGTGCGCCGACCCGCGTTGCCACTACCTGCTCCGCGCCTTGCCACCCTCTGCCACGAGGCGGTTCTCACTTGCTTGGGGGCGTTGTTGGCCAACGATGCACCGCCGGAGTTGGACGCCCTCACCGTGGCGCGAGCGCAGTTGCCTTTGCACTTGGGTGGGCTCGGTTTGCGGTTTGCGGAGGCCACGCGCCCGGCGGCACATTGGGCCTCCTGGGCAGACACCCTCACTACACTCCGCGAGAGACACCCCGGCTTCATGTCCCGGAGGTACACATTCTAGGCCACCCTGGCGCCAGCTTCACGGCAAATGCGTGAGGGTACCCCCGCGGGCCCAGAACTCCACTGCGCGCACACGCTGCGCGATGATTCCACCCAGAACGTTACGGGTGGCCCCACAGCGGCAACGCCTGGCCGTGACGGGCGGCAGACGCATCCGTCGGAGAAGCACCACCCGGAACGTCTCACTCAACGCACTGCCCGTCATCGGAGCCAGGATGCCGGCGTGCACAAAGACGTATGTCCAGGTCCCGGAGCAGGGAGGGGCTGCTGCTGCATGCCTTTGAAGAGGGTGCTACGAGAAAAGTTGAGGGACGAGGGCTGGACCGATACCCCCACGTGGCGAAGTGTCCTTGACGGCCCTCGCCTCACACGGCAGACGGATGCAGGTTGGCCATTCCACGCTAAGGTCGCGATTGGGAGGTGTGCCCACCATGCAGACGCTCGCAAGCGGGGCCACAAGCAGGGTCCTGCAAGTTGGCGCCACTTGGCTCCGGCTGCTCGCCGGGCAACGTGCATCGGACGTTCTGGCAGCCACGCGAGCGGCAGCGCGTGCGGCGTGGGTCGCACGCTGGTCGGGGCTGCTCGCCGTCGCTGCCCAGCGCGCCATCGCCGCGTCCTTGTTGGAACTCCCGCTCGCGGGGGAGTGCAACGTCGCCGAAGAGGCGCGCGTCCGAGCTGCACGAAGTGCTTGCAGACGTGCGCTGCGGTCATCGACAGCCGCCAGGGGCCTCGTTAGTGTCCCCAGCAGGAGTGCCGCCGTAGGACCAGGTAGGCACTGACGGCCGGGACTCTGGATTGCCGGTACAAAGGTGCGTTAAAAATTATGCCACAGCAGTGGTTGGGCCTCCCGACGACCGTTGCCGCCTCGATATTGTCGTGTACGGAGCCACGCCCGATGGCGGCGCCCTGTGTTGCGACGCGACGTTAGTATCCCCGCTCACACGCACAGGTCGCAGCCATGTGCCGAGGATGTGGACGGAGCCATGCTGCGGGTCGCTATGCGCCGCAAACGCGCCGCCTACCCAGAACTTGCCCAGGTTGGCCCACAGCGGCTCCTTGTTCTGGGCAGCGAGGTTAGAACGAGGGGGCCGTGGCCGCAATCCAGGACCAGGCAGTCCCAAATAGGTTCCTGCCTAATGGCAATGGTCCCGGGCAAGGGCAGAGCCCTCCCAGAATCTGGCCGCACACTGAGTATTTGTGGTAACCCACAATCCATTTCTTGTGACGAACATGTTATTGGGGAAGCCGAACTTTCGGTGGCATTAGAAACCTGAACAGGTCACAAGCGAATATGAACCTGCGAGGAATGCCAAACGCTCACCTATGCACGAGAAAGATTACCAGCATGAAACCTCATTTCCAAGGACAAGATACGCCCGGATTTGCAGGTACGCTTTCACCCCAATATCGCTTGGTCTTCGTTGCCAGGACAGATGATATTGGTTCCTGGCCCCTTGCAAATCGAAGCAACGCCACTCGGCTTACTGGGGCTCGTGGGCGGACACCTTGTGCACGCTGGGCGAGCACCACCCAGGCGTGCTTGCTGACCTGGTTCGCCCGCTGCTAGCCCCAGACGCGCCCGGCACACCCCCTAGTACGCGCGAGGCCGACCACGCGGCGCGCCAGCTGCGTGCGCTCGGTTTCCCTGCGCCCACCTGGGCCAACTTGCTAGCGACGAGCCCAGCAACAGCGTGCCGACGCCATGACCCAGGCGGCTTCGGAAGACCGGGCTGGCAGCACGCGGCCACCACTGCCACTGACAAGCGCGTGCTCGAGACGCTTTTCTCCGAACTGGACCCAACGTCTCGGGCGCTGCTGCTGTCTCAGGCAGGGGAGGCCGCGAGTTGCGCCTTCACGGCCTTCCCCACAACCTCCGATACCAGAGTACCGGACGAGGAGTACCGCGTCATGCTGCTCCGCAGACTTCGGTTACCCCTCCCGCTTGCCCCGCGACGCTGCTCTTGTGGAGGAGGCTTGGACGTCTATGGGGACCACCGCTCCGCATGCGCGCAAGTTGGTGTGCTGGCCAAGAGAGCAGGCCCCCTCGAGCAGGCGGCGGCTCGTATCTGTAGGGAAGCAGGCGCCCGAGTCGCCGCCCATGTCGCCCTGCGTGACCTCAACCTGGATGTGCCTGCGGCCGACGGGCGCCGGATCGAGGTGGTGGCCAACGGCCTCCCCATTTGGCAGGGGGCACAGATCGCCGTTGACGCGACGATCGTCAGCCCCATACGCCGTGATGGTCAGCCGCGTCCGCGGGCCGACCGTGAGCCAGGCCTCGCGCTGAACCAGGCAGTCGACCGCAAGCACCGGACCTACCCGGAATTCCAGCAGGCGCGGCGCTGCCGATTGGTTGTGGTCGGAGTCGAGGTCGGCGGACGCATCAGCCGTCCCACACTCACCTTTCTTCGGCTGCTGGCGCGGGCGCGGGCTCGCCAGAGGGCGCCGTGGTGCGCAGCAGGAGCGAGGCAAGCTCTGATGCGGCGTTGGACGGCGCTGGCATCTTTCGCCGCCCTGCGCGCGCATGCTTGCTCGCTTCTCGAGCTGCCCATCGTGGGGCCTCGTGACCCGACTGACGGCCACGAGGTTCTGCTCGGGGAGCTTCTGGCAGGCCACTTGCCACCCGAGCCCAGCAGGCTGTGAGGGCATCCCCGTCTACGCCGACACCAGGACACCTGACTGCGTGTGGAAAAAGGAGTCTGAAAAAAATCGAGGATAAATCTGGTAGTACGAAAGCAAAACTAATCGACATCCACGGACCCTTAGCTTAGAATCAAGGCTTCCACACACACACACACACACACACACACACACGACACGCACACACACACGCACACGCACACGTGCACCCACACACACACA